AATAGTTTAATAATAATATGAATAATCGCAACTCTTGGGAATGTCAGGTTCATGTTGTTCTTTTACATTCTTAAAGGAAAAAATGGCAGGGTTCCATTAGTTTATTTTAAAGCTTATTTTTAGCTTTAAAATTTCTGATGTTAATGTACCATTATTAGGACCACTTTATTTCAGAGTTGAGGGTTTAGCTCAGAATCCCAACTCCCAGTACTATTCTCTAGTCTCTGTATCCTACTGCCTGTTAACATACTCATTTAAAGCTTGAGAGAAAAACCCTAAGGATGCCTTAACATTTCTGCCTTCATAAAATACACCAGATGAAAGAGAGTTAGTGAATGGCACCTACATTATGGTTAATTAGAAGTTGAAGCTTGACAAATATTCTAATATGTCACACCTATTTCCAGAACTATATATGTGTAACTGGATGACCACAGATAACAGGGAAACCTAGATTTGGGGAAATGTTTCAATATTAGTTTTTCAATAATTATAATGCAGGCCCTAGAGAGTGGTTATTTCCAGTATCAGTAATCTTGGGAGGAGATGAATGCTAGGGCAGGATATGCCCACTGTCTGCCATCAGGCTAGGAAGGACTCCCTCTTTCCTCTTTCACTTTGGGCTCTGAGATACGAAAAGGCCTGGGGGAATTTTTGTGACAAATGGGAGGGGGTGTCCCAGGTGCTAGGTTTGCATGTCCCGTGAAGTTACTGCACCTGCTTTGTTATCGGGGGTGGTGTTGTCAACAGTGCCATTAACACCAGAGCAGAGAAATTGCTAGTTCAGGAGCAGGAGTATCAGGGGAAGCATTGTGAGGCCAAAAACCTAAGCAAGCAAGCCTGAACTCCAGAAGATGTGAGAAGAGGTTGCTCTGAGTAGCCTAGTGACCTCACAGGAGCCATCAGCTGCAAACGCAACAGTAAAGCAGCAGGACAAGAAGCCTTGAGGGCTCCCATCAGATGTGCACACATGGCAGGACACCAGCAAGTCCTCAGGGGGGTGGGAGGAGCCTACCTCTGACCTGTGTGACTCTGTACCTTGTGTCAGAATTTGGTAAGATAAACAAATACAGAGAAATAAGATAGGAAGTAAAAGGGACCACAAAATGCATTAGAATATTCAAGTCTAAGTAGACGTTTACATGAAAGTAGATTGGGGTTGGGCATGCGATGGGGAAAGGAGGCATGACCCAAAAGCAGAACAAAAACTAAACGTACAGGAGTTAAAAGAAAAGACAGCTGAACACCAGCTGGTCCCTATAAGCCATAATGGAAATTAAACATATGATTAGTTTGCTTAAGTTGGATCAAAAAGGCATATCTTGGCTTGCACACCCTTGAAAGAAAGTATATTAGCCTTTGGGTTATTGTTAAGAAAGGACTTGAAGAGTGAAACAAGGTGCCCTAAAATGCCAAGTCACTGTCCTGACTATAATCACATGGAAACACAAGGAAGTAAGGGCACAGGCCTTTCAGACATGACAGTAGGCAGTTCTATGGAGTCACCCATGGGGTGGCAGCTGATGGACCTGCTGGGTGAACAGCATAGAAAACAGGTGGAATAAAGGACAGAATAACAGCAACAAAAACAAAGGATGGTTTGGTATTTGTATGTAAACATGTAACATAAGGGTACCTGAACTTTGTGAAAACTTCTGGTGTCCACAAATATGTTGTTTGTCCACCAACATGGCTACTGGTCAGTAGAAAAAAATGAGTTTCCCGTTCCTTTTCTCACCATCTCCTTTCCCTCTCCCCATCTCTGCAAGAGCTGGTTCTTAGAATGGGTGGCAGCACTTCTATCCCTTGATGGCACTGTGAGTGAACTGCGACTGCAGCGGTCAGCACGCGCATTGCTCCTGCCAAGTTGCTCTCTCCATTTTTTAAATGTTTGCCGAGAAGGGGTAAGACCACCTGGAGTATGAAAGAAAGAGCAACTGTCAATCGAAAAGCAAGTGTAACTCGATTTCATTGGCACAAGCAGATGACTGTGACATAAATAAAATGGAATTCATTGTTTTAAAATAGAGTAATGGGATTTTTAGGTGAAAAAGTGCCATATACGTAAGCCAGGCCAACTCCATCATTTTACAAGTGAGGAAATCAAGGCACAGAAAGATTTTTCCAATGACGCACAACTAGTTAATGGTAATTAACTGGAATTCAAGGACTGGAATTCAAGTCAGTGCTTGTCTTGGGAGATCCAGAAAAAATTCAGATAAGCAAACTGTTAGGAGTTATAATGCATGAACTTGTGACACAGTTGAAGGAAATAGAAATTTTTAACCTAGAAAGGAGGTGGTTCAAGGGCGTAACTGTTTTCAAATACAATGAAGGACTGGCAAGCAGGAGAGGGCTTAAGCTTGTCTGTTAGCCTGAGGAAACAGGACAGTTGTAGACAAGTCAGAGGAAAGACTTGGGAAGTTTAGTACAAGATCAAACCTTTTAAACAGTCAAAATTCACCAAAACAATTTGTTGGGGCATAGTAAATTTTCTGTCACCTGAAGCATTTCAGAAAAGACTGGATGAAAATGTAATGTATATGTTTTTGTCTCTGGAAAGAGGTAGAGAAAGGGGTGTGTAGGAAAAAAATTCAGGCATGAAAATCATTAGGATGGGGTGACCTTTAAGAGTATGTGATTCTTTACAACCTGGGACCAAATAAAGGTTTCATTCTTGTCTCTGAACTCTAAAACCTGTCTTCCCATCTGTTTGCAATAGTTTAAATTTTAATCTATTTCATATTTCAAGGTATTATGCCCTGAATATTTGATCTGAATGCTGTGGCAGAAGGTCACTCACATTCATTTATTTTCTTTTACTCTTATACACTTGCAGTGAGTCTTTTGAATTCATTATGCAAACACATGCAAATCATATGCAAATTGTGTGGCCTCAGAAAATGACAAAATCTTATGGCCTTAACTGAGCCATCAAAACTTTCTTCAAGAAGGAAAGTAATATGCCTTTTCATTGTCCCTATGGCAGGAGACAATTTCCTGAGAGTGATATTTACATGACATCGGAACTGGTTACGCAGAGGAGTCTTTGTCCCACCTTCTTCTTATTTATGTAGACCTTTAAGGTTAAGAAAGCATTTTCATGTATATGATTACATTGATCCTCCTAAGTATTCTGTGATGTCAGCAAGACAGGAATTGGGATTCCTGCTGTATTTTTCAGGCGGTGAATAGACTCAGAGAAGCGCAATGACTTGCCCGAGTCCTCTCAGTTGGTGAACAATTGATCAGAGTCTTAGAACTAGACCCCTTCCAGTCCAGAGCTCTTCCCGTTACACCAAGATGCATGCCTTTTTTAAAGAAAGGTTATTGGTTGTCTGGTTTGCTTAGACTCTATTTTGCCAGAAGCACCTTCGGAGGTGATGAGGACAGCATTTTAAGGGCGACCAGAAAAGTCTGAATTGTTTTCATAGCCTTAGCACAGTGCCAAGCGCCTAGTTTCTGCAAACCCCTTTGCTTTTCATCATCTGCTCAGAAGTCACCAGACGAAGAACTTTCTTCACCCCACTATTTTTCAGCAGGAGGCAAAATTCTTTCTTAAAACAATGGAGAGTAATAGCACCATCTCTGCAGTGAGGCTGTGTGGATCTGAGGCCCTAACCTATCACTTTCTAGCTGTATGGCTTTGGAGAGGTCATTTAATTTCCCAAAGCATCCATCTTGATTTCTTAAAAATGGAGGAAATAAAGGCACCTCTTTGATAGAATATGTGATAAGGAGATACACAAAAAAACAAACTTCCCAGTGTCTGACACAGTAAATACTCAATAAACAGTCGCTACTATAATGATAGAAGTAGTATAGGAGTGGGAGTGATACAGCAGTGGTGGTCGTGGTACTATCTCTAGTCATTTTGAACTTTGATGCTAAGAACTGGGCTCTTGGAAACAGAATGGAGGAATGGTAATGCTGAGAACCTCTTATGTGCCAGAGGGTTGGAGAACAATGTCTGAGTAGCAACATCCAGCCTAGTGAGGAATGCTTGAACCTTAACTTTCTTTAATTCCTACCACATCTTGCACCATAATGAGCTAAATTCAATCCTGTTTCAAAGCCATTTCTAAGAGGCAGAGCTAAAGCTGACATTCTTAACTCTGCTCTCTCTTAGCCAGAGTGCTCTGTATATAAATGTGTCCCTTACTAGGTCAGGTTCGGATGGAGAAAGAAGGGATTCCACCCCAGCTGCTTTAGCAGGCCTGAATCACCAGATTGAGGGAGGGCTTTGTCATCCTCCTATATCAAGACCAGAGGTGGGTGCAGACCAGCTGGCCAAGGCAGCAGCACAGGGGCTAAAGCAGCTACACTCCCTTTCTAGGGACACTCCTACTCTCCTGCTCCGGTTTCCAGCTCCAGTGAGTGCCACCACAGGACCCAGCCTTTCCATCTGTCCCCACCAAGTGCTCTGCCCTCTGCATGCCCTGGCACCCCTGCCAGGCATCTAGGACAACTAATAAAGTGGCCTCCTTTGTAAGGAAAGCCCCCTGCTTTCCACAGCCCCTCTTGTGGAGGGGGACCAGAAGCTACTGGAGTTGGCCAAACCCGGAAGCTGGCCTAAAGCCAGTAGGGACCATCACACTGAAAGTCTGTGTGACCAGCCCAAGAGGACTGCGTAACGGCTTCACGTTTGCCAGGAAATACAATCAGCCATTCTCAGGCTGGGTCTTCAGCTATTTTTGGCAAGGATGTGTGATATGCAAAAGGAACTTCTCCTTTTTTGCAGCACAGAGCCAGCACTCAGTGAGCCATCAACAGAATTTCTTGTTCTAAGATCACCCTTCTAAGCACCTAGCTGGCTGCCGAATTGCCGAGGCCATCAGCGTTTGGTTCAGTTTCTGAGCATTAGGTAAGCCCCTCAAGCTGGGGTTGCCGCATCCCAGTGATGGCTCCCCACGGCAGCTGCTTCCTGTTGGCAGTGTTGCTTTCTGCCGGCTGCAAGGCCATCGCCTCCTCGGACCAGATGTGCACTGAGGTGAGTGCAAACTGTCTGTCCTTACCCAGGCTAAACTGCCCGGAAATGCTGAGAGTCAGCATGCAGTCCCATGTGAGCCCTGGCATCCCAATATCCACCATGTCTAAAAGGGCAACAGGGTGTGGGAACCTTTTCTTTATTGTGGAAAATCAGCCAGAGGATGATTATAGATTCTTAGTAGAAAGAAGTGATAGTTTTCCTCCTCTGTAAACAATTCCCTCAAAACAATCCTAATTGAGGCATAAGATATCAACAAGGTCTCAGTGCAAAGAGCAGCCCCCCAATCCTCTTCCTGCATGGAGGTGCTGTTTGTCCAACATTCCAGCACGTGGCCACTACCCAAAACGGTCCTTTGGTTTCCTGAGTCACGGGTGGGGATGAGTAAAGATGAGCTGTGCCACCTTTCTGAGCAGGTAAAGGTGAGTGAGTCTGGCTTTCTCTGTGAGCTGGGCGGCCCTCCATCTGTTTCACTGACCCACAGCAGTACCACCTTAGAACAGAGCCAGACTGCATCCACTGTTTTCAACGGCAACAATGTTTATCAGTGTGTGGGAAGTTCTTGGAGAGCAGGCGAGAGAGAGGAGAAGAAGGGCCTCAGTCTCTTGCCATCTTCTAAAACGCTCCAACCTTCCTCCCACTGTCTCTGAGCCCAGCAAACTTCTAGCACCACGTGGTCTGGCAGACAAGGCTGCAGACGGGAAGGACCATCCGTCCTGGCAGTTGGGTGGGCTGCCTCCCCAGGTTGGGGCTGAAAGATGAGGAAGAGGCAGGAGTAGCACAGTGCAGAAAGGAGGGCCTTGGCAGCCACACTCCGGAGAATGGGAAGGCTGAGCGGGCAAAGCCCTGCGCAGAGTACAACTGGGAAGGTATGTGACTGCTCAGGCCACCGTAACGCTGACAGCCGTCTTCTCCCCGTCTTCACAGCATCTTCTTTTTGTACGAGTCTGCATCCAAATTTATTCTTCTGATAAAGATACCAATTACATTGGATTAGGGCCCACTCTAATGATCTCATTTTAATTTAATTACCATTTTAAAGCCCCTGTTTCCAAATAAAGTCACATTCTGAGCTACTCAGTTTAAGACTTCAACATATGAATCTGGGGAGACTCAATTCAGCCCATACCTGAAGGGGATGAGTAAGAGATTTTTACCAGTCCCAGAAGGCCATCCCTCATCATTCAGGTTGGTAGGCGGCAGGACAGGAAGGAGGGAGTGGGGACACCACCTTCTCACCGGTCAGGTTGGTTTGCCATCCGCCTCTGACAACATCCTCAGATGGGACATTATCACCATAAAATCCCAGTTCATCGGGAAACAGGTTACTTTACGCGTCCCACTCTTAAGCCGGTCAGCACAACTGTTAAATCCCTACATCACTGCAAAGCCCGTGCAGCCCTGCTGATGCCCACAAGAGTGTCCTGGGAGATTCTGGAAACCCAAGGAAATATTGGGCCTATTTAGTCTAGCTTCCTGTTGATACTAGGGCCCCAGAGTTGCCAGCTCTTTTTGCAAATGGTTCCTGCTTTGGCAGCAAAAAGGGGGAAGAGGCAGGGAGAGCACCCTAGTCCTTTTGCTGCCATTTCAGGGCCTTTGGTGGTATTCAGGGGCCAGGAGCGGTCCTGACAATGCAGGATCTCGAGGCCTGCCTCAGCAAGAGATTTCTTTTTTGCTTAAGTCTGGTGAGGCTGAAACCTTCAGTGCAGCCCCCCTGCAGCAGCTCTCTGAAGGGACTCTGCTTTCAAGCGCCTTGGGGGCTGTTCAGCACCGGATCTACACTTTCCTTAACCTCCTCTATCACGTAGGAGTTCTTGGCAGCAGGGTCCTGGGGCTGCTCATTGAGCCCCCACTCTATGTGAATACTGGGAGGAACAGACATGAATGAGACCTTGTTCCTGAAGATAAGGGACTTCTAGGCTGCCAGCAAGCGGGATAAAAGTAGGAGAAGCAGCTTTTAAGGATTGGTACTTTTTTCAAGTGCAAATCACCCCAGTTTGCCCACCCCTCCTGCTTGCTTTCCTTTCCTCTTCTCCTCTTCCCTCCACTTTAAGCATAATTAACCACATATTGTTTACAGGAGCACCATGTGCTTACCAGCCCTATCCTGAAAACAAGGTTTTTAATTTGTTTTGCTTTGTTTGGAGTTTAGTAAACCTTTTATTGAGGTAAAATTTACATACATACAAGTTCACCAATCCTAACTACGTGTATAGTTCACTGAGTTTTCACCAAGTGAACACATCCATGTGACCTGCACACAGATCAAGAAATAGAACTTCCTCGGCACACAGAAGCCCCCAATGCCTCCTCTCTAGCCCCCAAGGGCAGCCAGCGCTCTAACTTCTGTCACCGTGATTGATTTTGCCTCTTGAATTTTCTATATGTGAGACTATACAGTGTCTCTTTCGTGTCTGGCTTCTTTCACTCAACATTAAATAAATGAGACTTACTGATACTGATGTGTGGAGTGATCACTTGTTCATTTTCATCACTGAATGCTCTTCTGTTGTATTAGTGAGCACCATTTATTTATCTATACTATATTAATGGGCATTTGCATTGTTCCCAATTTTTTGGTTCTTATGAATGCTGCTGCTTCTTATCTATGTATTTGGTAAACAAATGTACAAATATATATTAGTTGTATACCAGGGAATGGATGCATTTGGACACAGGGTTAAAAATACATATGTTTAACTTTAGTAGGTATTGCCAAATAATTTTCCAAAGTGTTGGTACCCATTTATACTTACTGGCAAGGTATGAGTTCTGATTGCTCCACACTCTAATATTTGCTATTGCATAGTTAAAAAACATAACCATTCTAATGGATGGGTAGTGGCATTTTAATGGGATTTAATTTTTATATGCCTAATGAATAATTAAATTGAGTACATTTTCAGACTTTGGTTGGCTGTGTGTGCATGTGTGTGTGTGCGTGTATGAAGTGACTTTTCAAGTCTTTGCTAATTTTCTCTTGTGTTGTCTTTCTTTTTGTAGGGGTTCTGTATGTGTTGTGGATGCAAGTCCCATAGCAGGTTGCAAATATCTTTTTCCACTCTGTGGCTTGCATTTCTATTCTCCTAATGATATCTTTTGATTAACAGAAGTCCTTAGTTTTATGTGGCTTGATTTATCATTGCTCTTTTATTTTCAATACCTTTATGCCCTGTTTAAGAAAATGTTGCCTACCCCAAGGCCATGAAAATATTTTCCTATGTGTTCTTCTGGAAATTTTATTGTTTTGTTTTTATATAGGTTTCACATTAGATATATAACCTAAATAGGTAAAATTGCTTTTTGCATAGGATGTGAGGTAGGAATCAAGACAAACTTACTTTTCCTTTTTTGTGTCTTTTACTTGTTAAATTTTCCATTTTATACATGTTTCATGTATGACATTTAAAAAAACTGTCAGCAGAAGTTTCCTTTTCTCAACTGCCCCCAACTGTCTTGCCCAAAGGTACTTTCTTTACATGAATTTTTTAACAAAACATTTTGTTTGAAAAAAGTTTCAAACCTAGACAAGTTCTAAAAATATAATGAACACCCCTAAATACCCCATGTAGAATTTTCCAGTGTTAAATGCTACATGTTTTCTCTTCCTGTGTGTGTATGTGTATCATAAATAACAAAATTAGATGCATGACAAGGTCTTTGGAGGCTGACAAATATGTAAAGCGTAGCTGGAATACAGTGTTCTATTAAATGTATTCTGGTAACATTTTAGTTGTGCTCTTGAATAATTATTTGAGAGTGTGTGTCTTCTCATTGCACATGGGCTTCTCATGGCTCTCCTGTCCCCTCAAAACTATGGTGGGAGACATCCTCAGGCCTAGGTATTGGAGTGGGGGGTGCTTGGTAGAAATCTCTTTTAGAAGAACTCCAAGTTCATGGATACAAAGGCTTCCCAATAGCTCTAGACAATGACATGATGCTGTGATGATCCAGTGAAATGCTTACTCCTCTTGTGAGTACTTCACGCATTATGATTGAGAGCTGGGCTTTGAACCCAAGCAGTCTGATTCAAGACAGAAAATGAACTGCATGTAACTGGAATACCCCTTGCCTGGAAGAATCAGATTAACAGCAAAGTTTTTGGACTGTGCCCTCTTAGGACTGTTTTATTTTCAGAGAGAAATTGTTACTCTGGGGTTTGGCTCAGTCAAATCACTACCTCTAGATAGAGGACTGATACTGATGGAGGGTTGGGGTTCAGCACCCAGACTCCATGTGCATGGGGGGGCCTCGGTGCTACACGTGCCTAGTGCAGATGCAAAAAGGTGGAAATCAGCAGTTGTGTACAACTCAAAGAGCTCTAAATTAGAAAGTGACTTCAACACCTGTGAGGAGAGAAAATACAGTGAGAGGGCACAGAGTTAGCTACAACAGAAAGAAGCGAAATGAGGTCCTGACTGAAAAATGCAAACGAATACCTGGCGGGAAAAGGATTTGCAAACAACAGACATAACACTGGGGAGTCCAGCTCTGCAAAAAGGCTAGGCTCTGACATTAAGCTAGAGACAAAGTGGTTAGTACAAGTCCCAGAGCACAGTGGGCCCCTGAGGAAATGCCCCATGCCTTGGAATATGGGTGGCCATGGGCCAGGCAGCCCTGCACAGCCCTGCTGGCTGCATGAGTTCAGATCAAGAAGGGTCCTGCCTGTGATGGAACCGGCAAAACAAGATAAGTGAGAAAATGACTTTGGAAGTTGACCCTTTACTGAGGTCTAAAGAATGGAGGCTGAGTTCATAGGAAGTGGTCATGTGGAGCTCGGAAAAACTACAAGGGCTGCAAAAGCAATGGTGGGTGTCTGCCTGGAAAAGCAACTAAATACATGGCCTGGCAGCCAGTCCAGCCCTGGGCAAAGTGGCCAAGGCCACACTGTATCACATTTCTGCATTTTGTCCTTTCCTGTACTGTGTGTGGTTGTTGTGCTACCCCAGAACCCAGTGCTGCACATCAGTCACTCTCAGGACGCTGCAGTACGGACCCTGACAGCGAGGCACACACAACCTCACTGATGTGGCATTTCTACCAAAAAATGTACAACTGAGTCAAATACTGAGGAAAGGTACAAGCCCTAAATGAGGGACAGTCTATAAAATATGAGCCTGTATTCATTAAAAAAATCAGTACTATAAGAGACAAAGAAAGGCTGAGAAACTATCTCAGATCAAAGGAAAACTAAAGAGACATGAAAAACTCAATGCAATGTACAATCCCAGATTGGAGAAACCAAAATTACTATAGAGGAAATATTGGGACAATTGGCAAAATTTGAATATGGACTGTAAGTTGGATAATTATGTGTCAATGTTAAATATTCTGAATTTTTCAGCTATACTTCAATTAAACAAATAACTATTCTGGATTTGGTAACCACACTGTGGTTGTAGGGGGAATACCCTTCTTCTTTGGTCATTTAGGGCAAAGGGTCATGATGTCTGCTATTTACTGAAAAAGAGTAAGAATAATTGTGCATGTGTGTGTATGTGTGTATGAATACTTCCTGCCTGAAAAAATGCAACAAACTAAAAACAATTCAATGCTGCTTAAATGATCCCAGAGCACAGGAAGCTTGGTGTCCCACCCATTATGGTCCTTTCTGCAGTGCAGAGGGGAGGGGTCATGCGTGTTCTCTGCTATGTGTTTGCTTTCTGAAATCACTTATAAGCTATCATTCTTGTTGTTTGCCTCTTTCTCCCAGGGATCAAGGGCCCAGAGCTCCTTGGAGTTTCTCCCTGAATAGAGATTAACATGATGATACAGGCTTGGGGTGGGCTTCTCAGTACTCATTGGCAGTGCTGTCCACAGGTTCTCAGTTTTTCACGGGGTTGACATAGGTACTTCATTTCCCTGCCTTTCCATTTGCTAGGAACTCCTTCAGGCCAATTCCCTGCTCAATTCCCAACCTTCTGATCACATTAATGCAGTAAAGTGCTTAGTAAAGCCTGAAAGAGGAGTGATTCAGGTGTCATGGGCACTTACACACTCAGGAAGAGGAAATCACCAGCGTTGAGCCTTCTGCTGTAGGGCCAGAACAGAGCAAGACAAATTTAGGAAAAGCCCCTTTCTCCAAGTGTGTGTGACATCAGCTATGCCTATAAGAAAAGAAAAATGTCCCCTTGAAGCTGGTCTGAACCCTCAGAGCTATTGGAACAGCGGCTGCACATGCATTTTCCCTCTGGGTTGTGTCCATGTTGAGGGGCACCCAAGAGGGATCTGGCAACATATGTTTTTCCTGCCAGTCAGCTAAATGTAAGTTTTAAGTGCAAAGTATGCTCTCCAGAATATTAGATGGATTTCTGGCAGTGCTTGGAGCACTACTTGGTCTATAAAATGAAGAATGGATTACAAGGAAATAGAAATATGGCATTTTCATCAGTGACATTCATAATATTATTGTCACAATAAAGAAAATTTGCAGTGCTCACTGTAACTAAAGAAGTGTATCATAAGCTGCAGTTGGAGTGAGGAAAGTAAAAGGCAATTAAAATGGCAACATCTCTACAACATCGCCCCTCTGAGCAAAGGAGGATGTGTGCAGCCTGCTGTTTCCCACTAAGCAGGCCTGTTTGCAACCCAGTTTGAGGAAATGGGCTGATGTAGAGCTTGAGGGGGCAGGGCTTTTCCAGACCAAGGCAGTCTCAATTGCGTCTCAGGTGAGACAAATGAGTGGTCAAGGGAAAGGCAGGATCTGAAAAATGAGACAAAATCACAAGGAATCTGAGATATCTGAAAGATGGGTCCCCACTGCACTGTTCCTTAGAGATCATTTCTTTCTATGCTAGGAGCCTCATTATGCAAAATTACCCCATCAGACCTTCACACCTGCCCCACTTCCCTTCATCCTAAGGCAGCATGAAGATAAACTATGACCCGACAATTCTACAGACTTCTAACAAACCCTTACTTAGGTAGTCCACAGCTGATAACCTGAGTCAGGGCATCTAACAAGCAGTGATTGGCAGACTTCTGAATAACTGAGTCTTGCGGGGGCCAGGATGACAAAGTCCTCCGCACCTCTGTGGAGGCCTGTACTCTAAAGACAAAGCCTGGTGTCAGCAACCTGCAGCCCCAGAGATCTGTATGCAACTGGAATCATACTTGAAAATTGATCGTGAGGCCTTGTGACCTAAGGTCTATGCCACATTGCTGGTTTGTCTGAATGTTGTAGGAAGAAAATTTCTAAAACATATACAAAAGTAGTTACTTACTAGGAACCTATATGTATGTATCATTCAACATTCAACAGCCATCAACATTTTGACCACTAATTTCATTTTTCCACTTTTTCCCTTCTTTTTTGCGAGAGTATGTTAAAGCAAATCTGAAACATCATGTCACTTTACCCCTAAATACTTCAAAATGTATCTCAAAAGTATAAGAACATTACTAAGTGTATCAATAACAAGTCCTTAAGATCCTCTAATATGCTATTCTCAAAGTTCCCTGATAGTCTATAAAATGTCTTTTCCTAAATGCTTTACTTGAAGTAGAAGCTAAACAAGGGCTATTCTATTACCTGCAGGTTGTCTCTTAAGTGGCTTTATATCCCTTTGTGTCTTTTGACAAGAGCAATTTGTCCTCCTTTCTTCCTTCTTCTCCACTTCTGCCAATATCATTCACGTGGTGATAAAACAAAGTTAGTTGTTCTATACAATGTCCCACCTACTGTGCTTGGCTGACTACTACCTGGCGGTGGGGTTTAACCTAAGTCCCCCATATCACCTGGAGACTGGACTTTAGGCCTTAAGCCTTGATTGGATTCAAGTTTTGCTTTTTCAGTTGCACCAGTGGTTCTGTGTTCTCCATATTGTGTCACATCAGAACATATGGAATGTCTCACTGTCCTCTTCTGTTGATACTAATCTACAGTTGATTTGTTTATCCTCAAACAGAAAATATCCATGCACTCAAAATCACTACTATAAAACCAAGTATATTCAGAGAAGTCTTGTTTCCATCCTTCCTCCTCTATCTGGTGCCTTCCCTCCCCTTCAAGACAACCACATTTTGGGTTATTTTGCCATGACTTTGTGTTACAAATATAAGAAAATATACACACACCTTTCTTACAGAAAAGGTGCCATATAATATAGTATATACTACATACCACATACTATATACACTATGTGTATACTCTGCACCTTGCTTTTTTCACCTTACAGTATACCTAGATATCATACCATATCCATGTATAGAGATCTTACTCATTCCATTTTCATCTGCAGAAGGTTCCACTTTGTGAATGTACCATATTTTGTGCAACTAATCCTATATGATGGATAGTCTGGTTATTGCCCACCTCTTGCTATTACAAGAAAGAATACTAAAATAAAAAATCTTACGCATAAAATCATTTTATTTTAGCAAGTACATATTTGGTAAAGGTTCCTAGAAATGAGATTGTTGCTTGAGGATAAAATATATGTAATTCTGCTTGCCAATCAAATTAAAAGGTCTGATATTAATTCACATTGTTTATCTCATCAGAAAGAAGCCAACAAAACTTATAACTGTGAAAATTTAGGTCTCAGAGAAATTCCTGACACTCTACCAAACATGACAGAATTTTTGGAATTTGGCTTTAACTTCTTGCCTACAATTGAAAATACAACTTTCAGCAGACTCACAGATCTTATCTTTTTGGATTTAACCAGGTATGTGCTTGAGTTCCTTGTATGCAGTTGATGTTTTACTAAAGTCATAACACAAATTGTATTTAAATTGTTTCCAGGAACTTCTTTTGGGGCACAGGGATGATCTGCTTATCCTGCATGCTTATTCTTTCCTGTGAAATATTTCTGTGAAGGAGAAATGTAATTTAAAAAAACCCCAATCAATGGTGAAGAAAGTGGATTGTCCTCAAACTAGATTGTGTCAGCAGTGCTGTTTAGGAAGTTCTAATATTGATAACAAAACTGAAAACAAATTTTGTACTAAATCAGATGCTATATTAAATTACATTTTAGCATAGTTTGGTGATGATATTTTAGGAAAAATTTACAGGAGAAGCACAAATCTACTTTTTTTTTTTTCCTACGAATTGGGAGAAAGAGTCCCATTATTTGGTTTTAGAGACAGAAGCAGGACTCCAAAGGCTGAACCAGTGGGCAGAAGTATCACAAGACAATAAGGGAAGAAAATAAAAGAGAAATAAATGCAGCATGTATGTGTGCAAGAGGGGAGGGCCCTCGTGAGGATAGAGCCTACACTCTTGTCAGCTGCTCCGTTTCTTCGGTGGTTCAATCTAATCTTCCTCAGAGTGGGAAAGCATTCACGTCCATGGGACTATTTCACATGTATAAGTACCACTGGAAGGAAGACATGGTGAACGTTACCATCCAGCTCACGTTAGATGAGGAAATGGAGGCTCAAGAAGATGCTGTGGGCTTGCGTAAGGTCGTGGATTAATGAAACTGGGACTCTGCTCTTCTGACTCCCAGTCCAGAGACCCCCAGATACTCCCACATTACCTCCTCAGCCAAGACTTCAGGTGCAGGTGCTTAGAAACAATTGAGAGAAAGCCTTGCCCTTTCAGGCAGAGACAAAGGTCATTCTGCTATGCACCTATTATGCCCCAAGGAAATTTACTTTCCCTCTCCATCACCATTTCTCATTTTTAGACGAAATGAGTTTGACCACATTTTTAAGGAGTTAATGGGCCAGGATAGCTTTTCTAGCTGAAGGACTCTAAGTACCCTCTTATTATTTTCAAAAAGTGATAAAAAAGATGATCTCATACTTTCTAAAATCTTCCTCCTCCACTCCCTCCAGCCCCTGCCTTTTATCTTGTCACAAATTAGGCATTATTTGTATTATTTTAAAGTTCTTGTTTCTTTAGCCTTTCTGACTTCATCTGCTTACTTTTCTATCTTGCTTTTCATTTCATTTGCTCACTTTTCTATCTTGGTTTTCTATTTCATTTGCTCACTTTTCTATCTTGCTTTTCAGACCTTCCTCTCCACAATAATTTTTCTTTTTTCTGAAGATTTACTTAGAAATTTACTTAGAAATTTCTTTAGTGAGAATTTGTTTATACTAACCTCCCTCCATTTTTGTTTTTTGGCAAATGGCTTTATTTCCCTCTGATTCTTGAAAGACAGCATTCTCTGACATACGACTCAAGCCTTACAGGTTTTCCCACAGCCCTTTGATGCTATCATCCCACTCTTCCATTGTTGCTATTGGGTAGTTACCTATTTAGGCATTGTTCACATGGAGGTGATCTATCTTTTTCTCTCTGAGGGTTTTCAGTAGCTTCTCTTTGTCTTTGGCATTCTGGAATATCACAGTAACACATCATATAGACTGTTGGGCTTCTTGTATCTGAGATTGCTGTCTTTCATCAATTCTAAAATATGCCAGCCATTATCTGTTTGAACCTTGGCTTGTTCCCCTCACTCTTTTATCTCCTCTGGATGCCTAATTAGGCTTATATTGCATCTTCTCATCTAAATATTCTTTCTTGTTTTCCATCTCTTTGGGTTTTTTTTTACTATGTTGTAGATAACTTTCTCATATTTACTTCTAGTCCATTAATATCCTCCTCAGCTATGTCTAATCTCCTATATAAACTACCCATTGGTTTTCTGATTTCAATTAACTTCTCCATTTCAATAAGATCCATTGAGTTTTCATTGTACAAATGTATCAGTTTTAATATTTTGCTCCTTCAACATATTGTTGGAGCTGTTTCCTTTAAATATATCAAACATATGGTTACTGTAAATATATTTATCATATATTCTGATAATACCTATCAGGTATATTGTATATTCTTTATGTATCACATATACCATATATATGTATGGTAATTATTGTATCTACTGTTTTTTTAACCTGATTCTGATAAACATTTTTTTCTGTTTTTTTTGCACTTTTTTAACTGACCTTGACTAATGCCTTTCCCTTATGTGATCAGTGAATTTTTATTTTGAGCTCATTTATCTTTTGGGAAAATCTTTTTAAAATACTTTTCTGGAATTAGATAATACCAAAGAATTATTAATATTGATACATGCAAACAATAACATTATAGTTATAGAAAATAAGCCTATATTTTTTTGGAAATACATACTGAAATATGTACGGGATGTCTAGAATTTGATTTAAAACAGTTCAGGGGAGAGAGGTGGAAATAGATGAAGCAAAGCAGCATATATGGCAAAATCTTAAGAACTGTTGTGTTTTTGTGATAGACATATGATATATGAAGGCTCCTTGTACTATTCTTTTTACTTTTATGTAAAATTGAAAGTTTTCCTTATTAAAATCATATACATTACTCCAGAAAAGGCTTTTGTTTACTTCTGCCAGTTACCTGAAGTCACTACAACCACAGGATTACCTTAAACTAAATTTTCCATTTGGGTTTCTTTTGGGAGGCCCACAGAGGTATAGCATGAATTCAGGCCACCATCCTCACAAGTGGAAGTTTACAGTTAGGGGATCTCAGAGGAGACTTTCCTTGTTGTTGTTCTGGTTTCTTCCCCAACCAAGGCCAAGATGAGCATATCCCCAGGGCTCCCTCTGTGAGCTTTGTTTTTTTAAGGTCACCCTCTAAAAGGATCCCTTCTGAGGGAGGGTCTTGGAAGTTCACAGGTTTTTGATACGACTTCCTATCCCACTTGGACCCCAAGCTTTGTCTTTTGCCGCTGGCACAGGTGGCTCACTAAAAACCAGGCTCTGGGCCACCAGGGACTGGCAGATATTAGCAGACATGACAAGGCTCACTCCAAGGCTCCCTTGTACCTAAGGATTCAACCTTCCTTTTCTCAGTGCATTTCTAAGGAATTCCCTTATCGACCTTTAGGGGAGGTGTGTGTGTGTGTGTGTGTGTGTGTGTGTGTGTGTGTGTGTGTGTGTGTGTGATCCAGTAATTTTAGGTACAATGCCAGAATGGGTTTCTTTGAAATTTTAGTGTTCATATTTCTGTGGATCATTTTCGTATACATTGCAACTGTTCTTGACCACAACTATTCTACAAAGTAACCATTATTTCTATACTTTGTAGATGAAAAAAACAGAAGTTGAGAAAAATTGTGACTGCCAGGATGGCACAGATTCTTATATTACATATCATATATTATATATTATGTATTATAGATGACATATTGTATATTACTTAAAATAGTAAGTAAGAGTTTAATTTTGCCTATAATCACACTATTAATTGTTACCTAGATTATAAACACAAACTTCTGAAAATTCTAAAGGGGCAAGATATCTGGAAAAAATTCTAAATCAGAATGTTTAGAACTAAGGTTAGTCATTAATTCAACAGGCAATCTGTGGGTACTAAAGAGAGTTAAGTTTTACTTTAATAATGGAAGCTGCTTTTGCTATATACAAAAGATGTCTTTGTTAATATAGGTCACTGTGACAGTTTCTTTTTTTCTTTTTTCTAATTAATTATTGTTGAATATTAACTTTTAAGGTGCCAGATTAACTGGGTACATGAAGGCACTTTCCAAAGCCATCATCAATTGAACACAATTGTATTGACTGGAAATCCCCTGATATTCATGGCAGAAACATCACTTAATGGACCCAGGTCACTGAAGCATCTTTTCTTAGTCCAAACAGGAATATCCAATCTTGAGTTTATCCCAGTGCACAATATGGAAAACTTAGAAAGTTTGCATCTTGGAAGCAATCATATTTCTTCCATTAAGCTCCCAGAAAACTTCCCAACACAGAATCTGAAAGTCCTGGATTTTCAGAATAATGCAGTACACTACCTCTCTCGTGAAGATATGAACACTCTGGAGAAGGCCACCAACCTAAGCCTTAACCTCAATGGAAATGATATTAAAGGCATTGAGCCTGGGACATTCCATTCAAAAATGTTCCAGAGTTTGAAATTTGGAGGGTCTCCTAATCTGTCTGTTATATTAAAAGGTCTGCAAAACTCCACTGCTCATTCTCTCTGGCTGGGGACATATGAGGACATTGATGACCAAGACCTTACTCTAGCCATGCTTGAGGGACTTTGTGAAATGACGGTTGAGAGCATCAACCTACAGAAGCGCCATTTCTCTGACATCTCATCTACCATGTTTCAGTGCTTCACTCAACTCCAGGAACTGGATCTGACAGCAACTCACTTGCAAGGGTTACCCTCTGGCATCAAGGGTATGAACTCTCTCAAGAAATTAGTTCTCAATGTAAATAATTTTGGCCAATTGTGTGAAATCAATGCTGCCAGTTTCCCGTCCCTTACAGACCTCTATATCAAAGGCAATGTGAGGAAACTTGACCTCGGCACTGGGTGTTTGGAAAAACTAGAAAATCTTCGGAAACTTGATTTAAGCCACAATGATATAGAGGCTTCTGACTGCTGCAATCTGCAGCTCAGAAAACTACTCCACTTGCAGTACCTAAACCTGAGCTTCAACGAGCCCCTTACTCTCCAGAACCAGGCATTCAAAGAATGCCCTCAACTAGAACTCCTGGATTTCTCATTCACCCACTTGCACATTAACACTCCACAGAGTCCTTTCCAAAACCTCCATCTCCTGCAGGTTCTGAATCTCTCTCACTGCCTCCTTGACACCAGCAATCAGCACCTTCTAGCAGGCCTGCTGGATCTCCGCCATTTGAATCTACAGGGGAATCTCTTTCAAGATGGGAGTATCTCAAAGACCAACCTACTTCAGACATTGGGCAGCTTGGAGATTCTGATTTTATCCTCCTGTGAGCTTGTCTCCATAGACCAGCAAGCATTCCACAGCCTTGGGAAAATGAGTCATGTAGACTTAAGCCACAACAGCCTGACAGGCACTAGCATCGATGCTTTTAGCCATCTTAAGGGGATCTACCTCAATCTCGCCGCCAATAGCATCTGCACCATCCCACCCCATCTCCTCCCCATCTTGTCCCAGCAGAGCACCATTAATTTAAGTCACAATCCCCTGGACTGTACTTGCTCAAATATTCATTTCATAACATGGTACAAAGAGAATCTGCAAAAACTGGAGGGCTCGGAGGAGACTCTGTGTGCAAACCCTTCATCTTTAAGGGGAGTTAAATTGTCTGATGTCAAACTATCCTGTGGGATTACAGCTTTGGGCATTTTCTTTCTTGTAGTATTTTTATTGTCGCTCACTACTCTGTTCATTTTTTCAGTTAAATTCCTTCTTAGGCACAAATACCAGAATATTTAGTGCTGAAGGCTTCTAGAGATGGCAAATAAATGTCGAGCAAAATTGTGCCGAGCAAAGGAACAGTTGTCTGTTAGTGACCAGACTCTTCAGGTTCTTGGAACTGGGCAGGGATTCATTGTGCTCTTCTGGGTCCCAGAACTAATGAATCTCCCTGGAAGGTAAGCTGACCAGGGCCAAAGGGCCAGACGCAGCTGTGGGAGACCCAGAGCCACTCCTCGCACAGAAGGCGGGTGACAGTTGAGGACCCATTGGCAGGGAAAGGCGCCCCCTAGGGAGCTATCTTCCTTCCTCTCCTGCACATGCCTCGAAGCGCCTCCCACCCAGACTCTAAAAGGAAATCGCCAACTGGTGCACCTTGGCAGTACTGAGGACCGCAGCTCCCAGAATCTCTCCCCCAGAGCTTCGGCCTTGTGCTTGGGTCTGAGCGCTCAGCAATGTAGCCATTTGGGAAGCTTCAGGATAAAGTCTCTACGGCTGTTTTAAATAAAAAAGAGAAAATATAATGAATTTAAGAGACTGAGAAATTAATCTTGCCTTCAAATTGACTCCATTTATCTCCTTAATCCTTAGGTCTCTAAATTATCCACAATGTCACTGAGGTGCAAATAGCTACCCCCCAAAAGAAGACACCCCTGCCAGGAGCTCCCTTCTTCCCCAGGTTAACATTTTTGCTACAAAGTCCACCCTCACTTCACAACCAGGGAGGCTCTTTCTGCCTATTTCGTGTTCTCACACTCACGTTACAGATACTGACTTACAAGTGGGCTGTGGTTCAAACTCTCTTCTCACTTGGATGTCTGGTTCTTAGAAGCTTCTTTCCCACAGGAACCATCAGATACATGGTGGTTTGGTTCCCAGGCCAGCTCTCAGAAGCCTATTCACCTGGGAGAGTGATCAACAGAGCACATTTATAATGGAAACTAGGCCAAGGAAGCATCTCACACTCTAGCTGCTGCGAATACAATGAGCTGGCTTAGTGAGGAGTTTCTGTTGAGGCTGGGAGTGTCAGTAAAGGTTGTACCCATCACAGAGAGGGGACAGGACTACTGAATGCAGATAGAGAAAGGCCAGGCAAGCCAGCAGTGTTATGATTTAGGGCTTCCCAAGGTCCAAAAGGTCATTCATGCAGGGCTTGATCTTCTGGTCTGCACTGGCAGACAGGGCAGTTGAGAGCTAGCTCATGTTCCTCAGCTTTTGCATTGTAAGACCTTGTTTAAATTTCATAACCAATTTTAGGGTAGAGGTGGTAATAGTTATCATTCCATTTGAACATCAAAAATTAACTTAAATATCCAAGCAGAATTTATTAGCCTTTAGATTGAGGACATAATAGTAAGACATAATAACAGAGTGGAAACTTGGGGACCAACTCCCCTTTACTTCTGTACCCCAGAAAGAGCAGGAAAGACAAAGGAATAGTGAAGGGAAGCCATAAGTTTTCACTGCAAATATTCAGCTAGGCTTAGGGAATTTTTTCTTAGTAGTAGCAGTAGATGGGGGGCCTAGTGTTCCCAGAAGTTCTTAGTGAAGGACACCAGGTGGGGGCTATGGTAAGGTGAGTGAGGCACTTGCCCTGCATGCAAAATTTAAGGGGAAGAGTGAACCAAAAAAACGCAGCAATTGAGACAAAAAAAAATTCTTAATACAGTATTTTTAAAACTTTAATGTCCAAAATATCTATGATAAATAAAATACCCAAATTTGAAACAAAGGCAATATCCATAACACCGCCATGTTGAACCATATGTGAGCCTGAGGCAAAAGGAAAAATCGGTAAGACTAGTCCTGCCTTTGTCTAAAATTTTGGTATTTTGTTCATTGTGACTATTTTGCATTAGTTTCAATTTTTATTTAATGTTGCATTGAAATATGATTTATCTTCATTACTGAGTTTTTTGGTGCCCCCTTCAATTTAGCACCCAAGGTGAGTATCTAACCCTGTTCCTACCCTAAGGACTAGGGAGAAGTGGGGATTCCCAGTGAGCTCCCTGCCGCAGTTTACTAAGGGCCTATTGGCATGCACATTATCTCAGCTGTACTCAAGTGTCCATTCCCTTCCCCTTTACTTTCTGGAAGCAGCGAGATGTGTCCATGATTTTATAGCTAGTTCTCCCAAACTCAGCTAACTCCCAACTCCTGGGCTTAAAGGCATACTTCCCTTAAAAGCAAATAGAGGTGGCAGAGCTGATTGGGTAGCAAATCTTCCTGAGGCATAGGTGGTCTGGGCCTGGTGAGAGAGGCCAAGCAAAGCACTGCTTTGCTAATGCAATATCACAGTCGGCTGCTCTGATTATCTGGCATACTAGTGTTTGGGAAAACAGGTGCTGAGGAAGGGCATTTTCCTCAGCTTTCCTGGGGGAGCTCTGGTGAGACAGTCCTGTAGGGATGTGTGTTAAAGAAGAACAAATGTGCCTGGACGTGTGAGGACATTGGGACATACCCCGTCCCCACCTTGATTCCTTCCCTGCACCTAGGATGGTGGGGCAGCATTCTGAGGCGGCCAAGCTGAGCCACTGCCGGGTTGGTATTGGCCTTGAGTCTGGCAGTGACCAAGGACTTTTCTGGTAGACTTTTGGTCTCAGAAAGGACTAGATGCCGATATGGGCAAGGCTGCCTTGGCCAGGCTCCCTAGGTGTGCAGAGCAAGGGGCTGCCTGTGCTGTAATGGGAGAATCCCCTTGTTCCAGGAAAACAAAGGCAGAATCGGTTTAGAAAACTCAGATGGCCCACCATCCCATGTCAGAGGAGCAACCCCTTGGGGCCCCACCAACGCATGCTGCCCACCCTGCCCAGGAGCCATTCACCTTTGGAAATTCAGGCAGGAATGTGGCAGGACACATATTTTGCTTTGTTGATTTTTGCTCATTTGCTTGCAGCAAATTAGATGATCAGCTGTGGAAACTCTGGGAGATATTCCTGGCGATGACCCTGGGGAGGCAAAACCTGTGCTCGCTGTCTCTTCCTTCCCTCCCTCGTCTCTCTGCTCTTCTCCCTTTCCGGCAATGTTTCTTCCTTTCCTTCTCTCCTTTTCTCTTTCTCTGCCTCTGTGCTTCTCTCCGTTATTACTTACTTCATGCTTTCCTTCCTTCCTTCCTTCATATCACAGAACATAGAAGCCCATTCCTAAAAATTCAGTCTAAGCACCAACCCAGAGATTTCTTGGGTATTCTCACATATTTAAGCCCCTTCCTTGACTTAAGGACTTAAGCTTCAGAAAGGAAATACTAATTGCTGACCTACCACTTCATAGCCACACTGTCCTTCATAGCATTTAATGTGTAACTTGGAAAAACAAAAGCATTCTATAGAATATCTCTGATGCAGATTCTACTACAAGAAAGACTATAGGGTCCTAAGTCCCAGCAAAATGCAATTGCCCATCTTGCTCTATCAGGCATGTACCCCTTCCATGTCACACAACTTGCTACTCCATAACTGCACATTGATCTAAGGCTTTGTGACAGCTACTGTTTTAACCAACAGTAAATTCACCCTACAAAGTCAGAAAGGGAACCTTTTGATGGCTGCTGTCACTTTTATTGCTTTGTCCTAGTTACTAGGATAGAATCTGCAGACATGGTGTGTTTATTGGTTTTATGTATCACATGTTGTTGCTGCTCTGACAAGCTACTCCTATAAAAATGTGTTATTATTGCATGTTGTAGCTCCATGAGCTGACCCTGCATTTCAAAGTGTACTGAAGCAAATAGCATTGAAGTCCATAAAAGCTGACTGGCCTCCATCACTGAGGGCTCTGCACGTGAGCTGCAACTCCCACAGTCAGGGAGCAAATTATACCTTTGCCCAGAGCCGGCAGGCATCACTGCTAACTGAACACAGCACAGACCAAAATCCAGGCATTACCTGTAAAATTCCAAGACAGGAAACTGTCATATCCTTTTTACTTGCCCAATTCCCCAATAAGTGTTATTTACAATTTTGAAGTTTGCAAAACAGTATGAAATAAGTGGCTTTTAAAATGTTTTTGTGTATTATTAGTTAGAGGGGTATAGCTGACATGGTTTTCTATCTGCCTAGAATGCAAAAGAGTAAATTTACTTGAATAACAGCAAGAGAGGATGTGGTTTGTTCTAAGCAAGTTATGACTGGGTGTTCTCCATGTTGATCTAGAATTGATTGCCTGGTATGCTAAGAAGTAGTCATCTAATATGAAGGGTGTTAGCTTGAAGGCTGCATAGTAATGGCCAGGCCCTGTGTCCCAGAGCTCCCAGGTACCGGCTCATCACCAGAATCACCCAGGGGCTCTCTATGAAACAGGCGCCTGCATTCCACTCAATACTGGGGTTCTGTTAGACGAGGGCTGTCCCTGGGCATTCAGCCTAATGATTTCATGTAAAACCCTTCCCTAATCTTAATTAAATCAACTAGTAGTAGTAGCACGCATTAGGCTTCATGAGTCAAATGAACTAAAGAACTGCTCCATATCCTGTAAGAGGAAATTTCTGAGGAAAAGGGAAAGAAAGGGCTATGGAGCCTTCAAATCCAAGTGTGAGGTATCCTAGGCAGGCAGCCTGAGCCTGAGAGTCTCTTTGCCAACACTGCCAAGTCACAGGGTCTGCCCCTACCCCCTCCCATCCATCCCTACCCACTCCATCCCAGCTATTTACAATTTGAAATCATTTATTGAGCATTATTAGTCTTGGAAAAAAGGAAACAACTAATCTACAAGTTATTTTTAAAAGCCATTATTGCTCAGGAAAAATCAGTGAACTTCACTGACCATCCTCCTCTTATCTGCCCCACCCCTATGTTAGATAATATTCTCTAAAAAACTGTTCATGACATGCCATTAGGTCATGCCAAGGTGAACAGAGGAGGGCGGCCACCAGAGCTTCCATCCATCTCCTCCTTCTCCCTCATGTTGCTTCATGGGCTTTCTAAACAGCTTGGGTCTCCCTTTTTTCTTTCTCCCATTCCTGGAAAAAAACCTAAGTATCCAATAATAGATAAATGATTAAATAAATTCGGGGATGATCTCAACAAATGAGACATTCTGTGTTCATGGGTGGAATAACAACATAATAAACATGTTGGTTCTACTAGGAATTAGCAAAATACAAGTCAAATGGGATAAAGTTTTATATTTATTACACTGGTAAAAAGAGAAATCTGGGTAATAGCATAGATAGGATGCATGCACTGCATATGGTTGCAGACTGGTGCAGCCATAATTAGTCAAGTTAAATGTGTGGGTCACAAATTCTTCTCTGGGCATATCTCCCAAGAAAGTTTTACATCTCCGCAATGATATTCAATGCAGCATTATTTATGGAGGGGCAAGTTCAAAGCACTTTGAGTGTTCATCACTAGGAAAATGGGTAGGCAAAATGTGGAATACTCCTACCATCCTACCACACAGTATCATACAGTAGTTAGAAGCAATGAATTAGATACAGCCAAGCAATATAGTCACGTCTCAAATATATAGTGTAAGAGGTCACCAAGAGGAGGTGACCACCAGTTGACCTAAAGCTAGATCCTGGCAATGGGAGGCTCCTCAGGCCCCACCGACACATCCTTGGGCTGTATGCTCTTCAATGGGAGCCATTTTTACTGATGGAGCCTTGAGACAGGAAGGTGCTATTGAGACCATCTGGGCTGAATACATGACTGAATCCAGTTAAGGCCTTTCTACAACTTTTAAGATTCTTGTGGGCAGATATGGAGATCTCATCCTACAACACCCAAAATAAGCCACATATGTTAAGTTCCCCTGCTTATTAAAACTGCCACCTACCCATCTGGAGTGGTCTGCCTCTTTCTTTGGTCTCTCCTTGCCCTCTGTGCGGCGGGGCCAGTTTGCAGCCAATATATAGGGCTTGATAGAAAAAAAATCCAAAATGGCTTATTAACATGATCATTTTTATAAATTGAAAATAACATGCATACAAAACAATGATACCTGTACTTCCTAAGAACACAAAAAGATAAACCATTAACATAGTTGTCTATGGGGCAGGAGGGGAGATGAAAGGGAGTATAGGGATAAATTAAATGAACCTGGGCATGAGCCAAGGTTGGTTTGCCAAGAACTGAAGAACAGGATGACCTTGATCATCTGCACTTGAGGTTCTCTCCTGCCTGCACACACGAGAGAATATGGCCTGTCCATAAAATGAAGTGCCATGTGGCTGTTATAAATATTGCAGAAGAACATTTATAGGTATTTCATTATATTTATGATTTAACACTAAGCAGAAGTGCAGGTTACCAAACATCATGCCCACTGTTGTTAGTTTTTTTGAAAAATAAAAAATTGACTTAAAGAATGACACAGTAGCTGGTGGGGTTGCAGTGATGCAAACACTTTTCATCTTGCTTTTCTGTATTTCTAGTTTGTCTTCCATGACCATGTATTGTGCAACAAAGAAAAAGTGAGGGTTTTTTTTTTAAAGACTTCATTTTGTTTGTTTTTACAAAGGTACAAGAGTCATAAAGAGGTCATTGGTTGTAAGAATTCACAGGTGCTGAAAAAGGCAGCAGCCTTTTTCTAAGGCTTTGTGTTTTCAAGTGCAAATGGTCAAGCCCAAGTGTTAGGAGTTGCTCTTTGCTTTCCCTTGAAGACAGAGGGAGTGATAGTCGTTCTAAGGATCCCCACTGGCATGGGGCAGCAGGCTGAGGAGCTGCTGGCGCTCCGACCCCAGGGTGGCACTGCACTGATGGATGCGGGTGGGAGTTTTAGGACCTGCCCTCAGTCCTGACAAAAGTAAGTCTGTCTCTAGCCCAGAAAAGTCCCTTTCAGCAGAGTGCTGTTTAAGAGTGTATGTATTTCAAAGGGACAGAACTTTCAGGTAAAGGGTTTTTATTTAGACAGTTTAGGGCTGGAGGACATGGTGATGCCAGCCTGACATATGAAGACTTGGTAGCTGCAACATGCTTGCTTCAGGCCTTGCAAACATCTTTATTCTTCATCTCCCGGCTGCTGACAGCCATCTCTGGGCAGTGGTGAATTGAACAGCAGGTGTATATTTCTTCGAGACTCGCAGCTTTACAGTATCAACAGACTCTCTGTGTAAAGCTGTGGGGGTGATAACTAGTAACCATATGCAGCACATCTTCCTCTTTCCCATGTCTTAACAGACTTAACTAGCATGTCCCAGAGAGTACAGGGACCTTCAGTCTTGGGAGCAGAGTCCCTTTTTGAAGGGCTTGCCTGCACCCAAGTATTGGGACTGAGAGCCCCACAGGAAGCGTGGGTTGCTATAAGACACGGCAGTCTTGTCTTTTGGAATGCGCAGTCCCCAAAATGAGGGAAATGCTGCGGCATGTTTTTCTATGAGGACCGGTGCTAATAACTCCAGTCCAGGGACTGAGGTGTCTGAACTGTCAGAGAACTTGAACCTGGGCCAGAATGGTTAACTTCCAATAGGCAAAAAGTAATGAAATTGAGGTTCCACAGAGCTGTGGTCATTTCTGGTTTTCCTACGTATGAGATGTGTGAAATATTAACAGGTAGGGAATAGAGAGGAGTAACACAAAATGATTGCTTTGAGGAATGACTTAAAACCAGTAGGAAGGAAATTAAATTTAGAGAACTGTCCTACCATTGAGTTCCTTAATGCCTGGCCTATATTAAGGGAAGCAAATTTCTATAGCTAATGTAGTTACACTTTTTCATCTTACATGTGTTGTGAACCGAAAATGCTAAATGGGAAATTGTCCACTGATTAATTAGAACTAATAAAGTAGCTCTATTACAGAGAACGATTAGCTTCCTTGGCTTATGGTTTCCCACCAATCATCAATTTGTGGTTTTGCACCAAATGATTTCTCTGCATGTAAATAAAATAAAGAGAAAATGAGGTGGCTAAGATCATTCAGAGGGGACTGGATCTGAATTCAGTTACATGATACCTGTTAGTGTTTAGAAAGCTCAAGAGCTTTAGAATCAGAAAAATCAGGATTCTAATCCAAGCTCTCTTTACAGGGTGTGTGTTAAGCAAATTATATAGCCTGTCTGGTCCTGTTTCCTTACCTGTAAAATGGGGCCACTACCACCATCCTGTTTGAAAACTGTGTTGGGGCTCAAATGAGATGGTAGATGTCAAGCATCTTGCCCACCACTAAGCACATATATCTAGTAGGTAGACAATGTGAGTTAGGTTGCTTCTTTCCCTCCCGATGGCTTCAGTGGCTTTTAATTATGAGGAAGGAGAAAGGAGGAGAGGAAAAGAAAGATGAGAGGACACCATGGTAACTGTGGGAGCAAAGCTCTGGGAGAACTGAAGGTGTCATCAAGGAGAAGGGATGACGGAGGCCTGGCATAGAAACTGGTAGGTACCACAGGCAAGGAAGAAGATTGGTAGAAGACAAGGTGGCACAGAGAAAGTGGACTTGTCAGCTCAAGCCACTCTTGCTGTTAAAAAGCTGGTCAAAGAGCAATGCTAACTGGTGATGGATTTGCATGCAGAGGTCAGAACTTAAAATATGTGCCTACCCTGAGCTGCTAGGAAAGACTTACCTTGAAGAGTGGAATACGTTTGTGTAAGTAAAAAAAAAAGACTAGCATACTATACTACTCAACAAAAAGCAATCTCCAAAACCTCCTGCTTCCCATAACACAGTCATATTCAGGAACGTTTGGGATGGGATGGATGTGTGCACGCAGGAAAAATTTATTAGTCATTATCTTTTCATGCTAAATTTTTATTTCAGTGTTATGCAACTGCATAAGTATAAATATTTGTTCAATATACAACAATTATGACATCCATAGGGAATATCTTAGAGAAAATAAGACTGCAAACACTTTATTGCACAGAGTCTAACAAACTTTTAAGCTGGTAAATCTACAGCTGGGAATACTACTACCAAGGAGCACATCTCACAATCACAAGAGACTGACCACAGAGAACACAGGAGGATTTCTACCAGCTGATTGTGGAGAGGTTTACAAAAACAAACAGGCATTACAGGAATGCAACCTTAAGTACTCTGTACTCATCCAAAATGCAAAAACATATTTGGCAAAAATGACAACACACTGTACAAAATATACATAAAAATATCATTTGTAAACAAGCAGCTAGTTGTGCTTTAAAGAAACTGGACAGTTAACAAAGCAAAGGCTGTAAACCAAGAACTACATCCCCAATAGACCTGTAGTGATGTCTGAGTGCAGAAGGAATGGGTTATGACAACCGCCAAACACAGATATGAATTATAAATGTTGAGACCACTTTTAAAACCCATTTAAGTTCTTCTAAAATACTTGTTTCTCCTACAGTTTTACAAGACAGTGATGGGAGTGGCTAAAACTGCATGGGGAAGAAACATTAAAGGCAAAGAGGACACTCCTTTGCTGCTATTGCCAGTTTATTTTACAATGAAGGACAGCCAAGCGGTTGCTATGTTACGCCCTTGTTTTTGGAGCACAGTTTACAGCCTCGCTAAATGATTTACAATCCACAGGCTGTAATATGCTGCTGTGCGTGGAGGAACAATTTTATAGCTGGAAGATACTAAGACATTCCCGAGGGAGTTTGGGTGCTGGATTAGTATTTAGTGGTAATTTTTTTCTCTTACAAAATAAAATAGAACAAAAATTCTGCTATGGATCCCAAGCACCTTATAAATACTTACCTGTGTGTCTTTTCTCTTAGTGCCTTAGTACTTATGTCTGTGAGTGCAGCCTTACAATACAAAACAAGTCACCAGGAAAACGCCAACAGAAACACAAAAAACCCCCCCGCAGCACTAAAATGATTTGACAAATTCTACATATTCCATGGTATACAACATTTAAATAAGGCTTAGCAAAAGTAAAAAGGACAGTCACATTCAAGCACCAAATAGCTCCAGTAAGTCTTTTTTGTTACAAAAATGCTGCTCTTTATTAATATTTTTTCTTTGCATACAAATAAAGAGATCATGTTATGAAATGTATGGAGCTACTTGATGCATCAGAAATGAATGTGAAACCCAGGAACTTGCTAAAAACAGCAAGCTTCATCTACAACATAAGGCCCCAGCTATGTATTAAAGTGTATCTGATGTCCTGATTATTCCTTAATATATATGCTATGATGCCAAAATCCACCCCCACTTCCTCAGAAAAGCAAATTTAAAACTTCTTCCAATGCCTGATGCTTATTACTCAACCTAAGTACTAGTGGATTTGTGTGCAGCCAGTAATTTTCCTTTGCATTCAAGAGCAGGGCTGGTGCAGGACTACTGCAAAATGTGTGCTTCTTGGACTAGTGACTCATAGCATAAAGGCCTGAGCTTAAGAGCATGAAAAGAAGGGAAAGCAAGAGAACAGAAATGAAACGACATGTGTTTATAGTCCCCGCTAAACCTTGGGTGAACACCTGACATACATACCCATGGGCAAGGACAGCTAGCCTTTCAGACAGCTGGACCCAGGATCAAAATGTCCATTAGAATCACTCAAATGCAAACAGCTAGCTCCATTTGTTCGGCCATTACTAATGAAAGGGGAATTCCAAATGCAGCGATTAGAGTAGCTCTTGCTTTAAGATCGGGAAATACAGGTAGCCAGATATAGTACTATCAAAATCTTGTTTAAAAATACACATAAAAACCTCACCATCTACTGTATTCAGGGCTTTCTTTCAGCTTTAACTCTACGTAGAATGTTTTAACTTAGAAAACCGTAGCCTTGAAATATTCCCTTAAACCACGGACCAAAACATGTGGGTAGACGTGTATAAATACGGATATGGGTGTATCCGTACTTTCACATACACCCAGTTTTAACCATTTTGCTTCATTACTACATTATGTTAAGTGGTAAAGCAAAAATCTTACTAAAAAAAAAAAAGCTGTAGTAAATGACGCCATCAGCAGCAAAGTATAGACTCTACATCCCAAACCAAACACATTGCTAGGTATTTACAGAGACAATCTTTTTCCTCAATAACCCTCAACAGCAAAGATTTTTTTCTTTTTGTACAAACACTATCTGGTAACAGTTTTACCGGTTACAATTGGGAAGGCATTTGGAAGAAGGTCCCCTCTTTCTGGCTCTTCCTTTTCTCTCCCTTCATCTGTGAGGCTCCAGGCTCTGACTGGCGGCCAGTCCCACACAATGCTGGTTTCAGAAGGTAGTCAAGACTCAGTTACACATTCAGGTCTGTCTCCCCAGTCCCGCCCTGGGGCCTGCCCCATTACAAGGCCTTTTTGTGAGGGCTGCTCCGCCAGCTCTCTTTGCCCCGCCTCTGCCGGACCACAGAGTCTTTCTCGGAAGGCAGAACGACCGGATGGTCCCCATTTGGAGCAGGGGATGGCTTGGTCGTCTCTCTGCCCACATTCTGCTTCCTAGTCTGAGGTGGCTGGCCTAGAGTAGGCTCTTTCCCTTTGGCTTCTCCTAGGGTGGCAGTTACTGAGAGGGCCCTGTCCTGGTGGCCAGAGACCCCCGCCACATTTGGGCTGGGCTGGTGCAGCTCCAGAGTGAGGGTGGAGCTCCGAAAGGATGGCAAAGAGTCACTCTTTGTCATCTGGGTTCTGCCATCTCCCCCAGGCAGGGCCTTTCTATGGTCCCTGCAGCTGGAGGCTGTGGGCTCAGCTGCGGCCCCATTGGTCTTGGCAGAAGAGGTGCTGTTGCTGGTTGTAGAGACCTCCTGCACTCCTGGTCTGGCCCCAGGAAAGCTGGAGGAGCAGCTCAGAGGCTTCTCAGGGAGGGCAGGGGAGCGGAAAGAACTCTGCCCAGTGGCTGAGGGGGACTGCTTCATGCTGCTGGGCTTGCCTGCTTCAGTCAGTGGCTTCTGGGGACTGAGCCCTTTCCCCTTGGCCTCTGGCAGCCCTTTCCCGGTCATTGCTGGCCTCTCTGTGCCTTTCAGCCTGGCCTCCCTGGGTGCTAGGGACAGGGTGGCCTCCAGCTTTCCGCTGTCTGCTGGAACATAAAGTGCTTCTGTGCATTTCTTCCCCTCTGACTTCCTGTCTGTGGTGCTGGCCTGCAGACTTGGGCTCTTGTCTGTCTGTTTGCACAGAGGGGGGCAATCTCTCACAGTGGATGGTTTGGGGTGCTTTGGAGACAGATTTTGTTTTTCATTGACAGTGGGAAGTTTCTGGTCTACCAACTCACTAAGCCCTGGGTGTCCTTGCCATGGCAGATGGACAGGCTTCTCCAGCATCTCTGGGGGATGCTCCCCACTGGTGGGTTTCAACTTGGTGTCTAAAGGACCCCCTTCATTGTGCAGTGGGGCTGACACATTGCTAGCTGTGTTCTGGGAGCCTGAGAGGGCGGGGAGCATGTCCAATACACCCTTACTGCTGCCTTTTCCCTCTCGGCTGGGGCCGCTGGGGGACTGAGGAACAGGCTCTTTGCCCACTGCAGCCCCAATGCTCGGCTTCTGGGAGGAGAGGGGCCGGTCTGGGTGCTTAGACTTTGGAGGGCCTGGGTCGGGGCCAGGCCTAGGCTTCTGGCTGCCGCTTTCACTGTGCACAGCAACGGGCTTGGGAGGGCCCTGGAGGCCCAGGCTGGGTTCTGCGGGACAAGGAGGCTTGCCTCCCTGCTCTCTGCCTGAAGTCGGGCTTGGTGAACTGCAATGCTGCCAAGCAGCCAGGCCAGGCAGTTCTTTGGTGATTGATGGGGACTGAGAGCTACTGCTGAGATGCTTCTGTAGAGGCTGGTCCTTCCTTTCTGCTTCCTTGGGACTGTCTTTCTGCAGAGGTGGGAAACTGGAAAGCAGGTCACCCTTCCCACTCTCAGTTCCAGGTGCCTGCAGAGATGGCCCAGCAGGGGCTTCCAGCTTGGGTTCTATTCCCTTTCTTCCCCTGCCCGGCTCCCTCTCACAAGGAGTCTGGGCTGAGCTCCAAGAGGAGTCCCCTCTGGCTGGTGGCCTCCGCTCATCTCGGCCATCTTTGTGGCCTGTTTTCCCACAAGGCCCCCACACTTTCTCCATTGCCTGGGTCTGTGCGCAGAAGTCTGGGTGGGCCCTTCCCACAGAGGGGAGACCTTTGGAGGTGTCGCTGGTTTTAGCAGCATCTGGAAGACATAGCTCCAGGGAAGGGTCTCTGCGGACATCAGCGCTTGCAGCAGACTGCTCACTTCTGGCTGTGGGAAGGCCCCTTTCCAACGATTCTCTCATGTTTGGCTTCTCCGGGGCAGGGGTACCTTCAGGTGGCAGCGTGCTGCAAGGCCTGGATCCGTCAGCACAGTGAAGGCTCTGCCCCAGAAAGGGAAGGAGCTTCGCGTCGGGGCTGCGGTCGCGCTGCCTGCTGGGGCCGCCCTCTCTCTGCAGCCGGTTGCTTTCCATGCTGGCCACCGGGCTCCCGGCAGCATGGGAAACTGTCCTGTCCCGTGTTAGCTCTGGGGCAGGCAGGGGAGCCGCTGGTGGCCTCTGGAGCCCCTGGCTGGGTGGTGGGAAGCGAGGCTCAAGCAAGTAGGATTTATTCATCTTGAAGTTGGCAGGGGAAGGCTCCCTCTGACCCACAGTTTCACCCTTCTTCCCCCCACTGCTGGGGAGAGCCGGTGGCACAGAGGGCCTCACTTCACAGCCTGGGCTGGGGCTCGGTGCAGGCTCTGGGGAAGCCAGCTCTGTCTTGGAGGCCTGAGGCCCAGACAAGAGAGCAATGTCCAGAGTGCCCTCAATTGGCTTCAGGCACGACACAGACCTACCGTCCAGCTTATATTCAGAAGGGCTTTTCCGGACAGGTGATTCAGGAGCAACCAGGCTTGGCTTCTCTGCTCCACTATCTACCCGGCCAGCCAAGGCCTTGATGGGGACAAAAGAGATGGCACTAATCTGAGCTGCATGGGCACTGTTGATGAATGCTCGGCTCTCAGAGGCTGGCAGGGCTTCCTGCTGCCCAGCCACAGGCCGGACTGGGTTCCCTGGCAGGCATTCATGGGCACTAGACGTCATCTTGGACTTGAGCGCAGGGCAGAGGTTATCATCTTTCTCTTCAAGTGACACTTTCTTTCGGAGGTAATCAAGGTTGGCCAGCTTGCTGTCTAACTTCTCACAGCGGAGACACTCCTTGGCCTGGGAGGCCTTTTCTTTGTTCTCGCCCTTCCCGGGGGAGGGCCTGTCTGTGGGGTGACACAGACTTTCTTGGAGGGCGCTGGGAGCAGAGGCCCGTTTGAAATCACAGGTGCCGCGGCTGTGATCCCTCGGTGCCAGGCCACAGCCAGCGGCTGCCCTATCCCCGGTTCCACCCTCACTGGCCCGCACGCTGGCCTGCTTGTGAAGCGTGCCCTTCAGCAGGCTGCCCAGGGTCTGGGCCTCCTGCAGAGCTGCTTTGTTTTCAAAATGGCTCGACCTTTCTAAAGACTTTGGATATATTTTCTTCTCTCTCTCTTCAAGCCTGAAAGTAGAGAAGTTTTCCAAATCACTACCAAGTCCATGGGGTTTCTGTTGGGATTCCTGCTTCTCCGGGAAGCCATCTGGTTTCTTCACCACCACCTTAGCCTTCAGCTTCTCTCGGTCCAGGTCGTCCACGGACTCCTGCCTTCCCAGCTTCCGGGAGACGGGGCGTTTCAGGCAGCCCTGTTCCACCGGCCTGGCCCGGCTGAGCGAAGGCGCGTCACACACGTTCTCCTCCAGGCTCTGCAACGTCACTTCCCGCTGGGACTGCTCCCGCTGCACCTCTTCCTGGGTCACCTCCAGGCTGTGCTTGCGGGAACACAGGTGCTTCTTGTCACTGCCATAGGACGGCGAGAGCTTCTCCTCCGACTGCACGCGCTTGAGCAGCGGGGACCGCGGGGGCTCTGCGCTCTTGGGCCTGACGATGTGCCTGACGATGGTGGGAGGGGAGTGCATTTTGCTGGGAAAGGCTTGCGCGATCTTGGAATTGCCAAGTGAGTGTCCCAACAGAGGTGAAGGTGACCGCTGAGGGGAAGTGGGCTGAGGAGTTGGAGAGGGTGTCCGGGCCAACGGGGAGAGCGGGATGCTGCCCGCTGACTTACGCCTTCCAGACCGGTATCGCTGTCCGCTGAGTTTGGGGGCCAGACCATGGAGGGTGCTGGGCCGGATGTGTCCTGAGCCTGCTGGGGAATTGGGGGCACTAGAACTTGGGGAGCTGCTCTGGGAGGAGTTAGTACCTGTGGGTGGGAAAGAGAAAACAGAATGTTGTGAGCAAGGGCCTTCCCTTTACTTCCAGCCCAGACTGCCTTGGGTGAGGTCAGGTAAAGGTCAGCTAATTGTCCCTGCATCTAACACCAATGAGTCAGCACTTGGCAGATAAACTTCCCCCACATTGAGGTTTAACCCAATGCTTCTTGTTTTACTTTAATGGTCCAAATAGCCATATCTTGTGACCTCCCTGTAAGTCCTGTTCTCTATCATTTACATCCTCAACTTTGTTTCCTTCGGCCGGAATAAGGCTCCTGTCTTTCTGGATCCCAGGCGGTGACTGTGACCTCCTCTCAGCTCTCCTGCTGTCCAGCCCTGAGACTCACTCACCAGATGGGAAGTCGGGGGTGGAGCGATAGCTGGGCGTTGGGGATCGGGGAGACAAGCTGTGAGTGGGGGACCCCGGGAGGCTCTCCCCCGATGAAAGGGACCGGTTCAGGCAGGAGAAACTTCGGCTGGTGTGCAGTAAGGGAGAAGGTTGCTTGGCTAGTTTTTTGAAAAGGGATCTCCTCCTAGAGAGAAAGAGGGGAAAATTGGTCAGAGTCTATGTTCAGAACCACTCCTGCCTCCCCCGGTACCAGTGGGCTCATCCACACCTCTGTGCCAGAGACAGTAACATGATGGCAGATCCAATTAAAAAGGAAGACCCCATTTTTATATAAATTTTTCTTTTAATGTTTTAGGAAGGAAGTCTTTGATAGAATACAATGGCAGCTCTCTTCTCCAAGTTTCAAACACATTAAGGAAAGTTAGGAAAGTAAGAAAAATATAAAATATATTAAATATATATGCATTTATTTATCTGTCAGGTTTATGAGAAGGATGTTCTTTGCCTGAAGAAAGCTTCTGAATCCATATCCCCAGATACACTGATACAATTTAATTAAGAGATAATACAAATCAGCATCTTGGATATAGAATGCTTTAATGCTGATAACATGCTTTATCTCTGAGGGGCAGTTTGCTGTGCTTATTCCACTGTGGACTTTTGAATATTCCTAATAACAATGTAGGCTGTACATTTACATTGGAAAATTGAGAAAGTTGAACTGATGCTTATCATATCAGCAGGGCCAGCAGACACCATACAGCAGCAGAAGCAAATGTGTATTTAGTGCTCAAAAAGCACAGCCTCAGATGGCTTAGAAGTGCAGGTGGGGCTACAGAGTTCCTTACAGCCAAGCGAGCATGACTCATCCCCACTGAGCATAAGCAAAGATTTAATGCTAACCCTTGAAATAGTGTGTTCTAATACGATTTAAAGCCCAATCAAAATATACAGCACACGTTAAAAGAAAGGACCTCAGAATTTGTGTGCATATATAATTTTGATCAAAGTAATAAATATATCTGGGTTAAAATGTCCAATATTTTTATAAAGTTATAATGAAAAATAACAACCACCCCACTCTGCCTTTCGCCCACTCCCCAGAGAAATCCCTTTCTACTCCTTTTGCTGTTTCTTCTCCCATTTGTCTGCATAGTGCTAATGTGCTTACACTTAACACTACTTTTTATTTGTTTAGTTTTAGAAAGTGTATGTTGATTTCCTACCATAGGCAATGAGAATTAAGCTCTTACAACTCCTTTCCCCCTGCTTATCAAATATACTTCCCCTTTTCTATTCCTCTCAATAGAGCTAAAGCAAAGTTTTTGGTTAGTAAAAAGGCTGATATTCTCTTGATTTTGCATTATAAGTCTTGTTCACAGTTAGGCCACATAAAGCATAACTCCATTTCCTTTATTCTATAACTCTGTCCTTCCTGGAGTTAATAAGCATTCCTTTTCTCATATGCTTTTATTTCTACATTCTTATAAAAAATCCCCTTAATACAATCGGATACATCTGACCCACGCAGGTGAAGGAGGGATGCTGTGCATGGTGTAGGGAGCACATCAGACAGAGGCCTGACGAGAAATGTCCTCACCAGGAACACATACCCAAATCTCACCAGTGTCTGCATGGAGCACAAAAAGATTCTCATGGTACCTCCCAGGCTGCAAACATGTAACCTAGTTAGATTTTCAGTCAGCAAAACAAGGCCCTTTCATTTCTAGACTTATTTGGATCCTTTAAGGATACAATTATTTTAGAATATCTGACATTTAAAAAATAACAACTGTTTGTTGTTAGATAATGTACTGGACATTATCAAATGTGGATTTAATGCTAAAAACTGCCTAGAAGTCTAATTCCTCAAATCCGACTCAAATGTAATGAAGTCTAGAGGCTTAAGGAACAGCAAAGGGCTTTTCATGGTACTCCCACATGAGAAAAAGGTTCTACAATGTAACTGTGTAAATCTCTTCATTACAAAACATAATGCTGTTATGGACTTTAATATATAAGTGTATATGAACCACAGCACATAATTTCTCACAGAAATACATCTTTCTCATATATAAGCATTTAACTTAAGGAATAACATTCCTCCAGCATGGGTATATACCAACCTCACAAAAATAATGCTTCAACTAACCTTTCTAGACTTTCTTTCTTCTTGGATTTCTTGCTCCGCCTCACCATCCGGCTCTTATAGCTGTTTCTCCTTGCTGGTCCTGTTTTGATGGATGTGTTTTCAAACGGGGTTGTAGTGATTGACACCTTATTTCCACTCTATAAAAGAAAATGGGGGGGCTTTAAAGGGAAATGCTGTGATGAAACAAGATGACAATAGAAATTGGAGATTCAAAGACAAATAACAATGCACAAGGACGGACATACAACAGGCCTTCCATGTTTCCCAATAACCCTTCAAGCAGTGAAGTCTGACAGAATACAAATGGGGTGGAAGGCAAATTGTGAGGTTTCTTTTTAAGAGGGTGGTCCCTGGACTCCACGATCTGCGTTCAAATCGGACCTCTGTGACCAGAGCAGGTTGCTTCTCCTTCCTCTGCCTCAACCTCGTGTACTAATGTTGGGATCAGACCTGCCTCATAGTGGCTCATCTCAGCATTATGTAGGGCTGTTGTAAAACCTTTAACATGGAGTGTCACACATGGAAACAGCTCTATAAATAAGTTATCTTCATTCATGTGGATTAAATATATATGCCCAAGGTCTGTCTGCTCATGGCTGATTTTTCTTTTTTCTTTTGTCCTTTTCTTCCTTTGACCTAGAAATCATAGAATAGCAATACTGAATGAGACTGGTATTTTTAATTATTTTAAAAGGTTCCTTTTCTAACACCATAAAACTTGCCTCCTCGTAGAGCTGGAAAGTTTATGCCAGTGAGTACGAAATGGCCTTTCTTTAACCAGGTCATGGCAGGTGAGGTAAATCCTGGTGGGTTTCCGGGCCCTTTCACTCCACCCTGGGGCAGGCGCTTGCTGGGCAGGCCCTGGGGACAGACTTGAGAGTGGAGACAGAAAGCAGGATGAGGGGTGGATGGGGCAGGTGGGCAGGACTAATCCCCCTTGCTACTCTATCAACAACCTCTTCTTCAATTTCTTAATAACCAAGGGGGAAACATGTCCTTTCAGAGTCACACATGGTCTTGACCACCTTGAAAAGATAAGAAGTATAAGGAAAAGGGCCTTTAAAAGACCTGTTCTTGGAAAACACCTACCAATTCCCTCTAAGTGGTAACAAGTAATGGGGAGTTAAGTATGGTGGGAACAGGGGACTGAAAAATTAGGGATTGACTGATTTAATGTTAGCATCTACTCCATCCCCCAACTCCCTGCTACCAGCAATTTGGGAAATAATACATGCTGTTATAAAAAAAATAAAAGTCACTGGGAACCTACCACACAGATAACACTGGTAATATTTCAGTGTATTTCTTGCTGGTCTTTTTTCAGACATGTATAAATTATGCACATATATAAGACATACTGTATAAATAATTTTAATCTTAATTACTCTAATATTTAGTTTTATGTTGTTTTTATATTTCACATCATATTACTTTGAAGACTTTCCCTTCATCACTGAATATTCTTTAAGAACATAATTTGTATTGGCTCTATGATAATATTCCATGAGACAGGTGAAACAAAATTCAGCTATTTCCCTATTACTGTTTTCTACTTTTCAATTCTTTTAGGAGTTGAAATAGCTTTTTATAATTGTTGCCCTAACCTCTGACATTTTCCTTAGATAATGTAATTATATCTAAAACACAGAATCAAAGGGTCTACCTGAACTTCTTAAAGACTCTCGGTACATATCGATATCCTATTTTCCAGAATGTTTTTTTTCCCGTTTATAGCCTCACTAGCAGTATACTACCTTACCACAGGCTTGTCAGAACTGCCAAGCCAATTTTATAGGAAAAAGTTACATCAAGTTTCAATCTTCATTTTTTGACTATTAGCAAGGCTGGATGTTGTCTCATTTATTTTGGTTGTTTGTATTTTTTAAGAAAATGATTTGTTCATGTGCTACATCCTATTTTGTTTCAGAAAGTCTTAGTATTTTATTACTGAATTTAGAGTTCTTTTCATATTTAAGAACATATAATCCCATTACTACTGTCATAATTGTAAAAAACATATTTTAGGGAAATGGGATTTGAACTTGAACAAGAGAAAAAAAAAATTTTCATTCTGAAAGAATAAATTATATGTTCTATATGCAAATGCCAAAACTTAAAATTAGCCTTTATCTGACAGTAGAGATTGGTATTCGATTTAGTCTAAATAAAATTCAGCTTGAAAGGGTGAAAGGCCTGCCAAGGTTGTTTAGAATGGGGTCTTCTCTTCAGACTGATGAGGCCTTGCTAAAATTTTAGTTGTTTTTCCTATGTGCCTTAGGTGAAGGAAAAGGGCAGCAAATGTGGTTGGAGTTCATCTTTCACTGAAGTTCTTTCAATCCTTTCCCACATTCATATTCAGAGCAACACACAGCGCCACAATGATCACTGGGGCTGTCCTACCCCATGAGCCACCTTGTGATGCCTGAGTCCAATTCTATTCTTTTTAACCTAATTCATGACTTTTAAATCATTATCTCTAAGAGGCACCTAGCATTGTAAATGCACATTTTGAGTATTAAAGCGCTTTTCATGTATTCCCTTACTTTATTTTCACAACCAAGTCATAAGGGTTGTTAATTTTCCCCCCACAACCTTTTAAGGTGGGAAGGGATTGCTATCCTTGCATTAAAAATAAAGAAAGTGGATTCAGAGACACTGAGATTCTTCTTTCCACAGGCACAGGGCCCAGGGGGAGAGGCCAAAACTAGCTCTTATGCCCCTCACCCCACTGCTGGCTACTGATAGGCAAGGCACGCCCTGATTCTCTCTCTCTTGCTCCTGGCACAGTACCTAGCTTGTACATCATGAATGGTGTCATGTGAACCAGACACTGGATTGATGTAAGGAATGAATGCTCAACGTACAGATTGTCAAGAAGAAACTGAAGAGATATACTAATACCATAAACACCATATGACATAAAAACAGTGTAAGTGTTTCTCATCAGGAAATTGTTATGACCAGGGCTTGCCAAATCAGAGCATATCACTCAGCTCTGTACAAATGTCCCCTTCCCCTACAAAAGCCAAACCCAGTTTTCCATTTCTGATCTCGACATATGGCCGTTCCAGAGAACAGTTCACCTGACTTAACGGAAATACACCAAGATTACTTCCCTGAGAGGAAAAGCAGACACAAAAGATTCAGAGTGTGAATATTTGGTTGGAAGTATTAATGATTATGAAAATGGTTAAGTGACTGGAAAAATAACAAAATAGATGAGAATCGTGGAGCCTGCCACCTGGTGGATCCATCAGCTACAGCAAGTGCTGCCTGAGCTTGGCAGTGTGGCTTACTCGGTCAGGTTATCCTCGACAAATTCTTTGAAGAAGGAGCGACTTCTTGTTAAAGAAATTCTGCAGCACTTGTTAAAAAATGACAAGGAAAAATGGGGGCATCAGACTGTTAAATGTTCAGTTAGTTCACTTTTACTTTAAACTACTCATGCAATTAGGGCACAGTGGGAGGGAAATAGTGCACGTTAGCTGTACTGAATGCAAGAGCAGAAGTCAGGCCAACCAGCCTCTTCTCTCAGGCTGGCTCCATGTTAGCTTATCGGTGGTCTTGGGTATTTCACTGGGGTAGACTGAGATCCTATAATCCCATGGATCTGGGATACAAAGTGACTTTGTAAGTTAGTGCTTCCAAAGCAGGTTCACTTTTAAGTTGTGAAGGTAAATGAGACCAAATGTGAAGACATGAAACATAGAAAATGCTTACTATGTTCACAATATTGTATGTGTTTCTAAACACAAACATAGATGTGTTTGTGATGGATCTTCTACCTTTTTCTAAGGGTGCCATGAGATTTTGTGAAGCAGTTTACAAGCATTACATATCATGTAACAGCATCCAAGAATATCAAAATAGAGCTACTACCCTGATATTCTGCCAGTGATGGCATGGATGGGCCCAGCAGTGATACTAGCCACCTTGTACTTTGTCCAAGAATCACTGTCTAAATTTGGAATAAAGTTGCATGATTACACAGCTCACTGGGAAGATCAGTAAATCCTTTGTTTGTATCCTCTTTGTGTCATTATGCTGGTTACTCCTCTTGAGGACTTCCTTTATGAGCCAGGGGGAGGAGCCTCTGCTAGGATCTGTGACAGAGCACACCAGCTTCTCATTACAGCCTGTTTACAACACTTCAGAGATACAAGTTGACTAGATTCAGGGATGAAGGCACTCCGCAACCCGGTAACGACAAAATGCTTTAAGTGGACCATCTGAGTCTGCCAAGAGACCTTACCAGAGACCTTTAGGAGAAATGTACATTCAAATATCACAGAAGCAGAAAGAAAGGCTTTAAAATCCAGAATATGGTTTTAAAATCGTATTAAAATACTTTATAAATTATGATAATGATAAAATATGTCTCAGCAAAATAAAGGCATATTTTCTAAAGATACATATATATATTTCAGTTTATTATTTCTTCTTCTGATTTTATGAGCAGATATATGGAACGATATCAAGATAGCTGTAGCTGAAACTATGCTACCTATAACATAATACTGTTACAAAGAAAGTGGAAGGCCAAACTTACGTGACCATTTAAGATCCCTTTGACTTTCTTTTAATTGCTGATGCCCAGATCTGGAAAAGCTCTAATAGGATGAATAACAACTAAGAAAAGTTCACTTATAAAACAAAGACATACTATCTAAAACAGGGTGAGATCCTAGAAAAGCTCAAGGAGCATTTTAAAGACAGCACCTCTGCCTACCTTTACAGTTCCTAACCAACTGGAAAGGCTTATTATATATTGGATATAGTAGACAGTGAAAAAAAATCCCTAACTCTAGGTCCTCACAATGGGTGGCTCTATCCCTCCAGTGATCAATAAATAGTATGCATTGGTGAGAAAGTTGCGTAGTTAGGGGGACAACCTGTAGGTACTGATGACAGCAAAGCATGGCCTCAATTCCCATGGGCTTTGAGCCCAAGAACCAAATGTCATTAATGCTGTGAATTTTACAATGGTGATACTTCCCTACAATCTGCTACTTCACAGTGAACCTCTAAATGCTATTACTATTCCTGGAACCTAGGACAGACCTTGAATCTTTTGAAGAATAAATGCAGTTGCCTGGCTGCAGGATGATAAAGAAGGAAGGAGAAAAGTCATTTACCTGCACTTACTTTTGAAAGGTACTTCCCTGTAGTGCCTTCCAAATTCCTAATTTTCTTTCAAGGTCCAGTTCAATGCCACCTGCCTGTGATCCCTCTCCCCATTCAGAATATTCTCTCCAAAAGTATGACATTCCTCTCTCTACTATAGCCCTCGCTAATCGAGTTGAACTGTATCTGTTTACATGCATCTCCTACATCTTCTGTACTCTTTGAGGACAAGGACCTTAATTCCCCTGTACCAACATCTACTATGTACCTGCCTCAGAGCGAGTGCTCTAGAAATAGTCTGAATTTACATTATTCAAATGACTCTCAGTAGGCTGTTATGTGAGAGCTATGATTCTGTCTGGTAGCCCTGACATACCCTCCCAGTCATCATGAAGCAAGAGGTCATCCATTAATCTGTTATTTGTAAAATAATCCACCAATTAAGAGACTGTATTTCTGATCACAAATAGTCTTCTTTTCTGAAAAAAATTAAAATCAAACTCAAATTTGTCTTTTAAACAGACCCATAATGAGCTATAACTTTCTATTCTACAGTCAGCAGAACTGGAATCTGTATACATTCTCCCTCTCCACTGATATTCATGCTTATTGTGATTTCCTTATTCCACAAGCTTTATTCAGCTTAGTCTAAATAGAAATTGATCTATATTCAAATTCATTTATATGATGGTGGAAGGCTTAATGATTGCTAGAACCTCTTCTTCCATTACTACATATTTCTACCACTTCTAATATCTGTATAAATATTCACAATTCTATCTTTCAAAGGAAATCCAACTCTCAGACTAAACCTTCAGATCTGACCTCACAGTTTAACACCACTTTGTCTGCTATGATACTAGAATAAAACCTACTAGGTGTTCTGAAGAAAAATCACCGTTAGGTTAGATGATTTGCAAACAGATTTTGCTATGTGAGTAAGACAGAACTCTTACTATTTGTGATTTAGAATAAAAAGCAAAATTAAATCAGGATGCAACTATGCAGATATAGGGAGATGTTTTTTGAGTTGTAAAACCAGAGCATTCATGTAATCTTTGTCTTTACAAAGTATGTTAAACTATGGATACATTCTCAGTAATCAGACAGAATATGTATGAGTGAGCCATAGAGAACTCTAGAACTCAAGTATAGAAGACACAAAACAAAACCAAAAACAAGGTACTTTCTAGATACTTGCTTCATCTGTATGGCCATGACATAAGAAAGATACCTTTAGCAAGAGCTCTATAACTTCCGTGTGGACAAGCCCATGCACCGGTTCTCCATTGATGTGTGTGATCAGATCTCCAGCCTTCAGTCCTGCCTGGCCTGCTGGACTTCCTTCTTCTACATTCTAAGTCCAAGAGGAGAGTAGAAATTGTAAGCAAACAAATTACCATCTCAACATTTACTGTTTCTTCTGGCAGAATATTCTGAATGAATTAGCAAATGATCCTAAGCTCCTAAGAGGAAATCAATAGTGCATGGTCATTTTTCCTTTTCTGTCTCATCCTAAAATAGGATAATTTCTGTAGTTCCTTAAGAAATTTCAGGTGATTTTGAGAAAGTAGTTTTCTTTTTTTTAAAGGCCAAGAAAAAAAAATAAGAAAAAAAGGAATAAAAGAAGGGTAGAAATAGAAGTCTCTTTGATTATTTCCATCAGCTTGGCATGCAGAATGGGCAATCAAATATGAAAACTGGACAGAATTATGAGAAAGGATTAGTTTTTGGTAAATTCAATTCTACCACATAGACAAAAGGGAAGAGCACGAAACAAGTCCCAATGCCAGCTTAAGAGGAAAAACATTTGGCTGGGAGTGAAACCTCACGGGGCTGGGCAACTTCTGGGCTTACCCAAACGATATGGTGCACCGTGTAGATGTCGCTGTCTCCCACATACACCCGGATGGCTCGGATGGTGAAACCATAGTTCTTCCCCGAACTGTGGATCACAATGGGCTGATGTGGACTAGCCGAAGCCGCTGAAGAATCTCGGCTAGGAGAAGAATCCCGTGAAGAAGAAGGGTCCGAGGACAGGGAATGAGGAGACATTGGACTCCCCAGTGGAGAAACAGAAAACATATCTGCAACAAAGAAGCCAGTCGTCAAGGCTGATCCTCACCATGCAAACCACACAGTCCACCCTCACCATGGGAGCATGCTTGCAAAGTAAATCTACTTGTTTCCAATAAAGAAAAAATAATATTAAAACATTTATACTGGTAACTAGCATGGATTTCAAAGCAGAAGTATGGCAAGGAAACCTTCCAAGTATCTCTATTCTAACTCATTTCCAATACTCCAAAGTTATAATTTCTTAGTTCTCTGTTCTAATAACAACACTCACAAAACTTAGTGACTATCTGGCTGTGATACTTTATTTAATACATTCTCTTTTAATTAAAGAAACAAATCATATAAGTATGGATTTCAAGTCCATCCTCACACAGAGAAGACCGTATGGACTACAGTACGAGATTCTCAGGCTCCAAATCTTGCCCTTAATGATTTTAACATGGTCCTTTTCAAAAACACACAGTCAAGAAAGCAAATCCTCAATCTACCAGCTGCTTTTTACAAGAATATTGAACTAGCACTAATGAAATAATTTTGATCAAGAAAACACCAAAATGTCAACTATTCTATAAGAGAATCACTCCTCATTACTGATAACAACTGTTTTCATTTACTACCTGTGATACTAACAAGGTGTCTGAGAGAACAATGTAGATGAAATAGATAGATTTTAAGAAAAATTCAGTTCATATTCCACAAAACCAATTCTACTCTGCTTTCCTTGTTTTACAAGGAAACACACTTTTAACCGATAGTTCAGATCACTCTTCCATCTATGTAACTCTAAACAAATCCTAACTGGTCATGTGAGTTAAAGTATGTGTATGTTTGAGAAAAAGAATCATCTCTAAAAGATGCTGAGGCTTGAATGTGAGCTCAGCTGGATGGAGCCAGACTATAAAGCGACCAGTGCTACTGATGGCTCACCAGGTGTGGGAGTACCACTGCAGCCACAGTAAGCTGGAAGTATCCATACTATCCTTTGTTCTAATTCTTCTGTCTGTCCAAAGTAGAACAAAGCTAAATGTATCACTCTCCATGCTCCATCACTCTGACATCTGTAGCAAGCTTTTTTTGCTGGCTACCTTCTGTCTAAATCAAAAGGCCAGGGAAGAGACACACGCAGGTGGGCAGGGAACTTCAAACCATGCAAGCAGGAAGAGGAGAGGGTGGACACACACAGATTCAAACTGCTGAATGCCAGGCCCCTGATCCTTTGTTTTATGAAGGTTTCCCTTATCTCCCCAAATTGAATAACTGTTCTTGTTTACCAAGATGTGGGCTTCCTCAGCAGCTTTTAGAAGTGGGCCTGGCCACACCACACTTACCTTCCCGACTTGCAGCTGCCCTGGGGCCAGTGCCTATGGGTTCTCAACAGTCATTCAAACTAGGGAGTATTTGTTTGATGGTGGTAAGTGGGATGTCTCCCAGGAAACAAACAGGCTGGAGTACTACCCCCAAATAAGCATTTGTTTATATCAAACTTGTTTGTGCACAAATATGAAGTTTCAAAAATGTAAACAATCCATTTTATACATAGTCTGTATTCTTCCAAATGCATGCCATCTGCAATATAATTCAATTGCCATCACCACTCTCTTGCTGTCATCTGAGCGGTAAGACATAACCACCAGGGTGTGTATTTCATTTCTGCCAGCGGAATTACTACAGACTTGGTGATTCGCAGAGGCAAAACAAGGTTGTAGAAAAATACTGCAATTCAACAAAACAATAATTAGGCCCAGTTTTCCAATAGAGGGCAGAAAATGATTTGACTACCAGTTGGAGGAAACAAAGTTCAACAGGCAGGGTAGGGCAAACTTCTACTTTCACTGCTGTCTGATTCTCCACATCCCCAGTAATGAAAAACTTAGGCCCTCTGTGTCTACTTCCTCATTAATTAGATGATAAAAACTATACTTAGCTTTCCAAGACAGATGCTGTAAACAGCTTTGCAAAGTATATACATGATGCATAGCTGGTGAAGAAAAATTATTCAGAGGAGGCAAATTTATCATTTGACTTGTGAAGGTGGGGGAGAAAGAAAAGGAAAGGAAAGAAAACAAAAAAAGAAATCAGGCTTTGTGGGAAGGAAGCCTGCCTCATCTCTGGCTGCAGAAGGAAGTGGAAGGAACAAGCCGGCGTGCTGCGTGGGAGGCCCAGAGACCCGGAGGTCCTGCCGCTCGGGGCAGCGCCAGGCACTGCTTCCAGCGACCCTGATCTCAAGCAGCATTCCAGGGGAGGGGTCAGGACCGCATGCAAAGTCACACAACTTCATGCGAGTAGTGGTCTCTCTACCTCCTGGGATCATGAGGGACAGAGCACTGGCAGAAAGGGACTTGGTCACTTTCCCCGAGATTTTCTTTTTTTCTGTGCTTTCTAATCGCTGCCGAGCCACGTGAGAAGCGGGTTCACTGGATGGCTTTGAGGAATTATCTGTACTGTCCACACACTCGCTTCGTCCATTTATCTGATCCAAGTGCTCTGAAAAACTTCCAACTGTACAAAGAAGAAGGGATAAACACGTTCAGGAAACTCTGGGATAGGGAAGATGGACAGAAGGGAAGAGGGAGAGAAAGAAGGACAATCGCTGGGAAATATACTCCCACGTGGCTCACAAGCCATCAGGCAGATATTAAAAACACATGACTGGTTTGAGGAAGGTGATATGGAGGAGGAAGAGATGAGATAGATGTCCATTCAGGTTCATTTTGCTTGTACACAAGCCTGCTACTTCTCAGTCAACAAGTACATTTAACTAGAAGAATAATTGTTTTCTAGACTGTGTATTTTACAACCCTGTAGAGAATTACAACTCCTGCCACACCATCACCATGAAGGGCCATGCCAGGAAATCATTACTCTGTGAGCACCATGGCCACCTGCTGCACGCTGTGCTTACCCTACAATACTAATGACTGTGGTCTTGATACATGGACATCATTAATCACTTCATGAAGACTTCAGCCTGCGTTCATCTACTGTCTTCCTAGAACACACCGCACTCCTAGCGTGTCTCCTCTCATTCTCATGCCATATACTTCCTTTTACTCTAAGCTCCTTGTATATTTCACAGGAGGAGACAAGAGGTATTACTGACTACATTACTCAGTGGCTCATTATGTCTTCTTGGCTTTTAATCTAGACAGCATGTCATATGCTGATCTGCCCTGAAGTTATTAGGCCATTGGGAAGACCCCCTTCCCCTCTGAACCAGCCATGCTTCTTTACTTTATATTTTATGTACCCCTAATATAAACTGGAATATTGTTTTTTGTTTTGGTTTATTCATTAAAAAAATTAGGACTTCCTTCAGAAGAGGATCCTGACAGAATACAACTGTGTAAGGATGCAGAAATGGAAAATCACAGACCTCGGTCTGGTGAGTGTACCAGGCTAAGAGTAAAGAAAGTTCCTGAGCCAAAGTTATTTTCCCCCAGAGAAAAGTTACACGGCCACCCCTTGTTGGTTTCTCCTACTTTCTTTCACAGGCTGTTTTCTCTTTTTCCCTTATTTCTTTTTTAAATCACTGATAATATATCTTTGTCCAGGAAAAAAAAAAGTGCTTATCTCATTTTTACATCTAAATGCTATAAGTTCCCTGTGCTTTAAAAATCATCAATGCTAATCATCACCTTAAGATACACAATCCACACAGAGAATTTAATATGATAATGAATGATGCTTTGAAAGACCAGCCAGCAGACTTTAAAGTGCTGATATGACATTCTTGTCTAAGAATGAGTTAGGTCTCACAGACCTCACTAACATTTCTGTTACACTGTTGTATACATGCCACTCCACTGAACAGTTACAGTTTGGTCCCAGTTCACAGAAGGTGACACAGACCCCACAGGCAGGACCAAAGCCCGGGGAGTGGGACAGCGGGCCTGGGCATTGCACCGTTCTTGGCCAGTCACTGTGCTAGGCACATGGTCTTCCAGGTGACACCCATCCAAACTACGAAGGAAGATAATCTCAAGGCAAAATATCAACAATCTTTCTACTCCTATGGGTCAAATTCAGTCTCACTTACCAGAACATCTGTTTCATTCCTTTTAAGTAAAGAAATGAACTGCTGAAGGACTTGAAAAAGCTGCTTCACCAATCAAAAATCTCATCTCAATAATCTTAGGCTTACTTTTGGGTAAGTTACATATTCCCTTCTCCTTTCTAATTTGGTTTGGATGGGATCGTTGGCAAGTGTAAAATGAAAAGCTAAATCTCTTTACGATGAATAATTTGTTGGGTGCATTAGAGCACCTAAGGCTTCAAAAGACTTACTTTTCACTGATTCAAATACAAGGTAGTCATGAAAAAAGAGAAACAGGTAAAAAGCTGTACTTCCCTAAATGCCAGAGTGTGAATATACAATGTTCTCTTTTATCATCCCTCCCTCCTGCCTCCACCATCTCATTTCACAGCACGGCATGTAAGCATGTGCTTCTTGTCTGCCAATGGTGGATAATGTCACCTTAATGTTCTGCAAATGTCAAGGGTTCTCTCTTTTTGATGGTGGAGCGATATAAAAATCAACAAATTTAATTTTACTACAGTCACGGTTTTCAGACTCCCTAATTACCCTTGGCTATGAGCAAATCAGCTCATCTCTCTATTCTGTGCAGCCCCCAAGGTCTTTGATTATTTTTAGTGTGTATATGGGGGAGACAGAGAGAAAGGTGGCTTGAATCTATTAATCAAAATGCATGGCAGGACCTAGGCAGATTTTTTTTTTAATTATGAAAGTGATCAATCAAATGCTTAGACACCATTCCCCTCCCTTTACCTCCTACATTTTTGATAGGAGGCTGAAGAGACTAACAGATCATAAACAACTCACCATATTAAGAATCAACTTTAAATGAAGGTAAGCTTACTCTACTCAAGAGTAAGATAACAAGCCAAGAAACAGGGACCTTAATAACCAGAAATATAAAATACTGAGATATTTGATTTGATTTGATTACCAAGATGAACTAAAAATGGCCAGGAATCTTAGACTACTACATTATTTCTACAGTACTTCCACATTGCTATTCCCTTAGATTTATAAAGAGTCAGAACAAGTGGAATTATCCTACATGGCAACAGAACTGAAAGGGAGAGAGAGAAGGAAAAAACCCAACATTCTTTTTCCTTATGGTAAACTAGAAGCACATGTGATGCTCCACAGAACCAATTTTTTTAGTGAAGCTGAAATAAACCCAGCCTATAAAGTTTGAATGATTAAATTATTTAAAAATTACTCTATGAATATTCAGTTAGTTACAAATATGCTCATGAAAATCTTGGAATCACGCTTATCAATATAGCATATTGAATGTGGTTTAATGAAAACATTTATTATACCAACCATGAGCCATACCCATCTTTTATTTATTTTTTAAGTGTAAATGCACATTGCTCTGTGGAAGGAGAAACTGCACATAACCTTTTTATAAACCAAATAGTATTTTAAATGCACCTGAAGGGCTTGCTCTAAGGGAAGTACAAGTTTGATTACCTAGTGAGGACACCTCCATTATTAAGGACCAGCAAATATCCATGATATATTAGGCATTTTAAAAGCCTGTGAAGGTAACTGTTCCTGTTGTCAGGAAGTGACAGTTACCAAGTGACATTATAAAGAGCTTTCACAGAAAGGGCCCAAGCCCCTTGACAGCCTTTCAAACAGCCAGGGACACCTCAGGAGTTCCTTGACTCCAGATACCCAGAGACTGGGAAGGTCACCTTCATCTGTGGTCCTGTTGCACATGCACATCAAACACCAATTGGAATTGGGTTAGTATTTCTGACTCCGTGCTCCCCTCTCAGTCCTAGAGGCCTGGAAGGCACTGTGAACCCCACAGCATAAACATCTTGCTGCAGTTGCTCAGAGTCCAGTGTGGAAAGCCGAGTTATTTGGGGCAACAAGGCCCACATATCAAAAAGCAACTCCTTCAAAGCAACAATCACCCATTTCAACACTATAGAGGGAATGATGGTTTTAGACTATACCTTATGAGTGATTTAAGAAATTTTTGAGGGTAACTTTGACCATTTGACTATTTGACATTGTTCCTTACTCCTAAATTTGAGTTAGATGCAACTCCACAGGCATGTCTTTGCATCAACAACAGAGAACATTCTCAGTTACTGTGCTGTGACTGCCATCAAAGGGTCCCCCTGAAGCCCAGCTGCGGAAACGAAGGCTGGCTCTGAGGCAAGGATGGTTTGCTCTATGGCCATGCACCAAGGAGGGGGCTGAGACATCTGACCTCAGGTCTTAAGAGCTCATTTCCCAAGGCCAAGAGGTGGGACCATGGTGGGAGGCTGGTGGCATAAAACAGCCAACGTCTCTACCTAGCTAGGCCAGCCCTGGGATTCAGGACACCAGCAGTCTTCTCTCCACGTGGCAGACAGTGTCTGCAGGGCAGGCGTGTCCAGGGCCTCACCTGACAGGGTGGAGCTGCTGATGGTGCTGGCGGGGGTGGTGACTTCAGGCTCCTCCTGGGCACACTCTGCAGGTGGGAGGGCTGGCTTTTCCAGCTCCTCGTGGAGGTCTCCGGGGCAGGGAGCAGCCTCATGTTGTTCTGTCTCTGCTGAAATGGCCAGTTTGGGAAGCAGGCCAGAACTGAGTCTCTGTCTGTTGCTTTCAGTATCTGAAGAGTTGGATGTGGATAACTGTTGCCTTAATGAAAAACCAAAACAAAGTCACCTATATATTCATACAAGGAAATGGTTCAAGGTGAATTTTGGAATCTGTGTTTTTACAGGCTGTCTGGGTCACTCAGACGCACATAGAGTTTAAATTCTTAAACTTTAGTTTAAGGAATACTGCTCTAGCAGCCCCTGCTTATGATATTTCTTGACAGACAATTCACATACATTTCAGAGTATTCTGAACTCCAGCTTAATGTTTCTGTAGACGGCAGAGTCGTGCTTTTGGTTTTGTCCCCAGAGTCTTCCTTCTCTTCTCCTGGATTCTGAGTTACTCGATCTATACTGCTGAAAACCTGGAATGCAAATAGTGCTTGTTAATACCTTTTTGAAATAATTTGTCAGGAAAGAACCCTAATCTTAGGAGAAAAACCTGCGAGCATGATTAAAGTTTGAATTGGGACAGTGTTTCCAGAAGGTACTTTATAATGCTAATTTATGTGTATCTTGAGATGAAGGTAAATGGACAATTTCTTTTCTTTTGGAGTGGTGAGCTATGAAGTCATCACCTTCTGCCATATCTCATTCAGGACTTTGTATCTGCAAAAAAAAATCCATAGATGCACTAGGGTTTCTAGGTCTGGGGATCAATGCACACCTTAGATGACCTTTTTTTTTGTAGATAATTATTTTTTATTGAAGGGTAGTTGACACACAGTATTACATTAGTTTCAGGTGTACAACACAGTGATTCAACATTTATATACATGATAATTCTAGCTACCAGCTATCACCATACAAAGTTGTTACAATATTTTGACTATATTCCTTATGCTATACATTACATCCCGGTTACTTATTTATTTTACAATTGGAAGTCTGTACTTTTTTTTT